TGAGGCAGAATGGCTTGAACCTGGGAAGCAGAGGGTGCAGTGAGCTGAGACCACACCATTACACTCCAGCCTGGGTGACAGAGTAAGACTCCAACGCACACACACACACACACACACACAAAATCACATTATTTCTATATATGAAAAACAAACAACTAGGAAATAAAATTTAAGGATAATCTTTTATGACAGCCTCAAAAATATTAAAAATTTACAAGGTAAATTTAATAAAATGTGTAAGATTTGTACACTGAACACTTCTGAGAGAAATTATAGAGAACATAAATAAATGAAGAGATACACCATGTTCATCAAACAGAAGATTCAATATTGTTAAGATATAAAGCCTCCCCAAATTGATCTGTAGATTCAACACCATCCCTATACAAATCTCAGCAGGCAATACAATGAAGAGGAACAGACTTCTCAAAAAATGATGTTGGAGCAACTAGGCATCCAAGACAAAAATAAATAAATAAACCTTTGACCTAAACCTCTTAACTTTCCACAAAATTAACTAAAAATGGTCATTTCCTTGAATGTAAAATATAAAGATATAAAACTTTTAGCAAAGACTCAGGAGAAAATCTTAGGAACCTGGGGCTAGGCAAAAAGTTCTCAGATTTGGCATGTGACATAAGATAAAAATTGATCAATGGGACATCATCAAAATGATAAACCTTTTTTCAGTGAAAGCCCAGTTTGAGAACATGAAAAGACAAGCTATGGAGTGAGTGGAAATATTTGCAAAACACCAATCTGATGAAGAACTAACATCTGAAATATATAAAGAACTTTGGGCCAGGTATAACGGCTCATGCCTATAATCCCAGCACTTTGGGAAGCTAAGGTAGGGGGATCCCTTGAGCCCTGGAGTTCGAGACTAGCCTGGGCAACATGGTGAGACCTTGTCTCTATAAAAAACAAAACAAACAAACAAAAAAGTTAACTGAGCATGGTGATGCATGCCTGTAATCTCAGCTGAGGTGGGAGGATTGTTTGAGCCAAGAAGTCAATGTTGCAGGGAGCCACAATCATGCCACTGCACTCCAGTCTGAGCCAAACAGTGAGACCCTGCCTCAAAAACAACAACTGAAAACTCAATAGTAATGAAAAAAAGAAAATCCAATTAGGAAAAGAATAGAAGGTATGAAGAGACATGCTACAGAAGAGGAGATACAGATAACAAGCACGTGAAGAGTTGACCATTCAAGTTGACCATTCAACATTATTAGCCATTAGGAAAATGCAATTAAATCAAAATGAGATGGCATTAAACATTATCAGAATGAGTAAAATAGAAAATAATGACAATACCAAAAGTTGGCAAGGATATAGAAAAACTGGATCATTCATACACTGCTAATGGGAATGTAAAATGAAGAACACTTTGGCAGTCTCTTACAAAACTAAACAGTCAACTACCTACTACATGACATAGCAGCTGTACTCTTGGGCATTTAGCCCAGAAAAATGAAGACTTATATTATATTCTAGTTTATTGCAGCTTAATTAATCATGGCCCAAACAATCCAGATGCTCTTCAACATGTGAATGGTTAAACAAACTGTGGCACACTAATACCATAGAGTATTGCTCAGCAATAAAAAGAACAAAATATTGATACATACAACTTAGATAAATCACCAGGGAATTATGCTAAGTGGTAAAAATAAATGCTAAGTGGTAAAAAAAAAAAAAAAAGTCAATTTCAAAAGGCTAAGTACTATACGATTCTATTTATACAACATCCTTGAAATTTCAACATTAAAGACATGGAAGAACAGATTAGTGGTTGCCAGGCATAAGGAACAGAGAGAGGCGAAGGGAGCAGCAGACGTGCCCACTAAAGAGGAACATGAGGGATCCTATGGTGGTAGACGTCTTCTGTGACTTGCCTGCAAATGCCAATATTCTGGCTGTGATATTGTTCTACACTTTGGCAAGATGTTACCATTGGGGGAAACTGGGTGAGGCATACATGGAATCTCTGTATGATTTCATAAAACTGTATGTGAGTTTACAATTTTCTCAAAATACAAAGCTTAATTCCAAAAAATCCAAACAGGTTTTATGTTGAAACTGATTTATATACCAATTCAACATTATCCTAATCAAAATCCCACCACATTTTTATCTTTTGTAGAAACTGACAAATTGAATTTAAATATTCATCAACTATAAGGTTCAAAATCCTATGGTTCATATGGGAAGTGTTTCCTTTAATTTCTGATTACAAGTTTAGAGCTTAATTATTTAATTTAATTAATATTAATTTGTTCCATTACATAGCTATCTGGCATTAAACTATGTTTTAATTTCAACTTGCAAAACTATAGCTGCTTAAAATGCTACTTAAAGACCTCTTTATTCAAGTATATCTGTTTACAATCTCTGCCCTTAAGAAATCAAGTTACCTTTTATAAGTTTAAATGTACATAAATCAGACCAGAAGAAATAACCAGCGAACAGTCCATGAAATGGCATTCTATAAAGTCATTTCCATATACGCATCCCAAATTAGTTTATTGCCCAAATTAAACAAAAGTAGCAATAACTACCAATACAACAAAATTATTTTTTTTCAAAAGAACTCTAATAAAATTTAAATCACAATATAAGTCCAAAGAGATGGTCTGGTCAACAATGGGAGAAGATAGTAGCCATGTAAAAGACTGAGCTCAGCATTCCCGCTATTAATTCATCTCCGTTTCTATTTACTGAGTGCATCTTGACTTATATTTCCTACTGACGAAGAGATCAGTAAATACTAGCAGGCTTCCGGAAAATTAAATCTGGTGAAGCTTTATCCCAAAGTCGGAAGAAAAATAAGGAGCACAAATGAGATGTGGCAGGAAGGGTACAGGATAACACTAAAATGGCATGATCACAATTTGAACTTAAACATTTTACAGAATGTATTCAATTAAACTATAGCTGATTTACTCAATACATGGTCTTTCTAAATATTAAAATGTTTTACTGACACACATAGTATTACCATGAATTAGTTGAAACCTGGCATACTATCCTAGGAAGTTTAACCATCACTAAAACATAGAATCCGGGACAATGTTTAGAGAAAGGACTAAACATTCCAGGAATTCCAGCCTCCTTGTAGAAGCCTTGAACCTTTTTATAACTGTGACTCACAATTTATATTATAATCCAGCACTCAAACATATGCATGTTTATACAACACATACACACTTGAAACTATTGTTTCATGAAGTAGTAATGACTCTCATAATATGCAATGTGCTCTGATTTTTCTCCATCTATTTTTTTTTTTTTTTGGTGATAGGATCTCACTGTGTCACCCAGGCTGGAGTTGTGGCAGTGGTATGATCATAGCTCTCTGCAGCCTCAGTCTCCTGGGCTCAAGTGAGCCCAGTCTCCTGCCTCAGCCTCCCAAGTAATTGAAACTACAGGCTCATGCCACTGTGCCCAGCTAATTTATTATTATTATTATTATTTGTAGAGGCAGGGTCTTGCTTTGTTGCCCAGGCTGATTTCAACCTCCTGGACTCAAGCAATCCTCCCATCTTGGCCTCCCAAAGTGCTGGGATTCCAGGTGTGAGCCACTGTGCCTGGCTTTCCACTTTATTTAGATACTAATTTTTTTAAGTATTGCCAACAACTGAAGGGGGAAAAGAAAAAAAAAAGTAGTTCTGAACCACTAAATTAATTTCTTATAATCTACTAAAGGATCTCTATATTGCAGTTTGAAAAACAGTGCTATACAAATGGCAGTAAAATGTTAACAGCTGGGAAATTTTTGGGGAGGGATGGAGTTTTGCTGTTGTTGCCCAGGCTGGAGTGCAATGGCAGGATCTCAGCTCACTGCAACCTCTGCCTCCCAGGTTCAGGCTATTCTCCTGCCTCAGCCTCTCAAGTAGCTGGGATTACAGGCATGCGCCGTCACACCGAGTGAATTTTGTATTTTTAGAGACAGAGTTTCTCCATGTTGGTCAGGCTGTTCTTGAACTCCTGACTTCGGGTGATCCGCCTGCCTCGGCCTCCCAAAGTGCTGGGATTGCAGGCGTGAGCTACCTCGCCAGGCCCATATGGGAAATCTTGATGAAGGGTGTCCAATAATTCTTTGTATGACTCTAGAATTTTTTTTTTGAAAACTAAAATTATACAAATAAAAAATAAATTTATGAATGCATCTAATTTACTTCACAGAGGAGAAAGACTGTAGATGCAGTTACCATGTCTCATACATCTTTTATTTCCTCATTTCCCCTCCCCTTTCCTTACTGTCACACAATTCTTTGCATATAGCATGGTTTCAGTATGCTGAACAAGAAGTATATGAGAAGGTATAAGTCAGAGATGACACCATAAAGTAGGTGGATCTTTAGCTTGGCCTTCAAAGCAGCAGATTTTGATTAATAAAGCAGAAGGAATATCAGCAAAGGGACATGGATTAAAAATTAACACTAGGGCTGGGCACAGTGGCTCACATCTGTAATCCCAGCACTTTGGGAGGCCGAGGCAGGTGGATCCCTTGAGGTCAGCCTGCCCAACACGGTAAAACCCCATCTCTACTAAAAATACAAAAATTAGCCCGCCCTGGAGGCAGGGCCTATAGGCAGCTACCTGGTGGGGCTGAGGCAGAAGAATCACTTGAACCCAGGACAGGGAGAGATTGCAGGGAGCTGAGATTGAGCTACTGCACTCTAGCCTGGGCAACACAGCAAGAATCCATCTCAAAAAAATAAAAAAGAAAGAACAAAAAATTTAACACTAGGTTTCATGCTTTTAATCTATTTATTAATGAAGACTCAAAGTACAGATTCACCAAAAAATCCCAAAGATCATTTTTTTCTTTTTCTTCTTCTTCATAATGATGTCAATAAAATGAAAATTCACAGAAAAAGGTAACACATGGTAAACAAAAGCTGTGAGTATATAAACTTACTGAGTGCCACCAAGAATGCCATTATCCTGTCTCTTCTTAGATAGCTACAAATTAGGGGAAGTAAAATTTATACCTCAAAATTCTGTTCCATTATGTTTCCACCTTTACTCAAACTCTCCATGATGGCCTTATTTCGAAGAATATCCTCTTCACTGAGATGTTCCCTTCTTTTCCTTGATTCTAAAACAAGTCCATTCACCAGATAAAAGTCTGCCAAAAAGTTTCCTACTCTTTCCTAAAACAAATATTTAAAAATAAAATTTTTAGGTTAAAAAAAGTATCAAGGTAATATATTTTTCTATAAATATGTAACATGTAAATGAAAACAAACATCACTTTGGTACTTGAAATTATCAAATTATCTTACATTTTCTGTTTATACAACATACACACCGCAGTTATTCAGTAAGTTAAAAAAATACACAAAAGCATACATTTCAAATCAGTAAAGGAAAATTTAAAACTCACAAAAAAATGTATGGTAGATAATTTGCAAATGATTTTAAATAAAATGGCCACATAGTATTTCTTTAGATCCTACTCCCAAGTAGCACAAAGCTATCTCCAATCTATTAAGCTGGCAGGCAAATATCATGAGTAACAAGGAGGGGTCAGGGATAACACTGTTCCCATTTTATAGATAGAAAAAAAGTAGAATAAAGAGAAATAAATAGTCCAAGTCACATAAGAATCTCTAGAACAACCAGAATGAATGGCCTGTTCAAATTCTCTATTCTCTAACAGGACCAAACTTCAAGTTACAGCTGCTTGTTTTCAGTAAAGGAAAGAGTAGCCTTTCTCACCAATACAAGTAAAGTGTTTTAGGGAAACTCAAATGGTATAAAGGACATCAAGAAAAGTCATGACTTCGTTTTAATAAAGTCCTCTTAATCCTTCAACATTAACTTTTACCTTTTTCAGACCCACAGGTATTCAGAGTTTAAAATACCTTACTTCATAATTTATTGAAAACAAGCTTCCCATTTCTATCTGCATGCAAGTCACATGGTCTCCACCCTGCTGCTGTTTTCTGACATTCCAAAACTACATGTTCAGAGTTGTGTTCCAGTTCATCTTGCAAAAATAAAAGGAAAGCATTCTGCACCTGTTTCTACCTACAAAATGGGAACCATAAGCATTACTGACTCCCTCCTTACCTGTCAAAGATTTAAGAAGATCACCTAGATGCTTCAAGAGCTTTGAGCTGCTTAGCAGTAGTACTAGATGATTAGTAGTTTCAATTTATATCTTCTCTTGAAGTGATCCATCTAATGCTGCCCAGAAGAACAGAGTACAAATAAGACTTTAAAGCCAACAAATGGACTGCAATGTAGCACCTCACAACTGAGAATGCCATTAGGCTGAGAGGAAAATCAGTGAGCTTAGACTTCTCAACAGAATTAATCTGTGGCTGGGAAATAATCAAGTGGTAATTACCAGTTTCTGAAACCTTACAATAAAAAAGGACTTAGTAAATGTAAATTATTATATCAACAAAATGTTGTGTGTATTCCCCATTACCCAGCTACTTAATTTCTTGCTATCTATAATAGGCAATGCAAAAGCATGTAAAAGGAGGATAAACACGTCATTTATAATGGCAGAAAACTGGTCACAAATATGTCTATTCACTTAAATGTCCAAAACAAGACTGAATAAGCTACAGTATATCCATCATATAGAATATGACACAACTGCTAAAAAGAATGAACTAGCACTACATGTACTGGTAAGAGAAGACTTCCAAGACACACTAAACAATGAGGGAAAAATACTAGTTGCAAAAAAATAGATACAATATAACACTTTATGAAAAAGTAAACATCAACAACAAAAGGCTACCTATTATTATGGTATATTTTTATGTATGAAGAACATAAAAAAAGGTCTGGAGGGTATAAAAACTGGTAACATTCTGCAAGGGGATGTGGGATTGTGGGCAGTGGCCAAGGAGGGCGTTTTAGCTTTATGTATAAAGATGTAAGATAATTTTATGTGTCAGTGTGGCTAGCCTGTGGTGCCAGGTGTTTGGTCAAACACCAGTCTAGATGTTGCTGTGAAGGTATTTTTTAAATGTGATTAATAATCAGTGAACTTTAAGTAGAGTTAATTACACTGCATAATGTGGGTGGGACTAATCTAATCAGTTTGAAAACCTTAAGAGCAAAAACTGATGTTTTCAGGGAAAAAAAAAAAGCAATTCTGCCTCAAAACTGCAACACAGAAACTGCTTGAGTTTCTCGCCTGCAGATTTCTTTCTCTCTCTCTCTCCTTTTATTTTGAACAGGGGTTCGCTCTGTCACCCAGGCTGGAGTGCAGTGGTGTGATCACTCACTATGGCCTCAACCTTCTGGGCTCAAGTAATTGTCTCACCTCATCCTTCCAAGCAGCTGGGACTATAGGCCATCTAATTTTTAAATTTTTCTGTAGACTTAGGGTGTCGCTATGTTGCCCAGGAGGCCAAGCCTGAATGTTGCTAACTCAAGAGCACAACATCCACTCTTTCCTAAATTTCCAGCCTGCTACATAGCTCTACATTTCAGAATTGCCAACTCCTACAATTTCATGAACCACTCCTGAAAATAAATCAGTTTCTTCGTCCTTCTCCTCTCTTCCTTACTCTTTTTTTCCTCTTCTCTCTCCTCTCCCCTTCTCTCTCTCTCTATTGGTTTTGTTTCTCAGAGAACCCTATTAAGGCTTTTTTAAAAAAATTTCTCCAGTGAGGATATATATTCATTTCACTGTGTGTAATAAAAAAAATACAATTTTTAGCAGAAGTCAATCTTGACCCTTACTTATTGCTGAATTTAAAATTTTATAAAAATGCTTCTTCATATAGCTCATTCCAATTTTTTTTTTTGAGTGGAGTCTCGCTATGTCCCTGGCTGAAATGCAGTGGTGTGTTCTCGGCTCACTAAAACCTCCACCTCCCGGGTTCAAGCAGTTCTCCTGCCTCAGCCTTCCAAGTAGCTGGGATTGAAGGTGAATGCCACCATGCCTGGATAATTTTTGTCTTTTTAGCAGAGACAGGATTTCACCATTCTGGCCAGGCTGGTCTTGAACTCCTGAACTTGTGATCTACCAGCCTCAGCCTCCCAAAGTGCTGGGATTACATGTGTGAGCCACAGTGCCCAGCATCAAAATTTTTTGAATATATATTTGAATAGACTTATATAACCTCTTACTGACAGACACAATGAAAATTACGGAAATAATTTATACTAACAGGAAAACTTCCACTGAGATTTGATTTAACATTTCTACAGTGTTGCAGAAATGTAAGGTTATTTAATCTTAGTATGCACAGAATACAGGAAACAAACAGTAAGTAAATGAGAAGTCTAAAGTGGAGAGAAAAACAGGTTCAGGTAAATAGATTCAAGTTTATCCCTTTTTGTAGTTTTCTTACGGAATAAAGTTCTAGAAATGTAATGGAATCACATGAAAACATTGTTTCCTGTATAATAAACAAGGCAGCTAGCAGTAAGAGTCCTTCCTGTCACAGAATTCAAATGAGCTCAGCTTTCTTTCCTGAATTCTCCAAGGACATATTCTGACTCTAACCATCCATTATAATTCCCTCTCTGGATTTGAGGAAGAGAGAAAAAAACTACTTGGAGACAATTCTGTAAACTAATTCTTGCATTTCTATGACATTATTTTGGAAATATTAAATACCAAACAATGATTAAAGTTTAAAAATCTAGATTTACACATACTGTTTTATCTTCCCGAAAAAGCCATCCCGTCTGGGCACGCGTGAAAGAAATTGATTTTGTTGATAAAGTTGCAGAGTAAATATCACTGCTCATTAAAATATCAACCTCTTCTTCTGTTTCCATCTCTGATTCCTGGGATGGGAGCAAAAGTTAACTATAAGAATCTAGGTTTCTCAAAAGTTCTTAGTGCTACATATGAAAATATCAACAATTATAATGTTACCAACTTTTAAAGACAAAAAGGACAGTTTCTAAATAATGTGAAGTGCTACTTACTCTAAAAAGAATTAGATGTTTAAATTTTACACATTAATATCTTCTCTAAGTTAGCATTATGACTAATTATGCATCCATAACATCAGGACACATGAAATTTAGTACTTTTATCCTGCTAAAGATATGTATGGAAGCAGTACTACATTACCCATTATAGAACTATATAGTCTGTTGAGGAATTTTTAAAAACTAATTTAAGAATTAAGTTGACAGACCTGAGAAAAATGCCCAGATAAAGGATAAATTTCTTTCAATACAGATGAATCTTACTTTAGTTTTTTATAATGCAAAGACCCACTACTGTCATTTGAGCCTTTCTTTCCTAGTAAGTTCTAAGTGGAATAAAGAAAGGAAGGAGAGAACAGGAGGAAGGGAAGCAGCAGAGAGGGAAGGAAGGAAAAGAAGTAAGAAGGAATCTTTTCTATATTCCTTATAAAACAGAAATGAATCCATAAATATCAACCCATGATTTCTAATCTTAAGGAGTAGGCTTGCTTCAGGTTTTATCCTGTACATATTTCCTAGTGCTGGTATATAATAACTGAGCAATAATTATTTTTAATATGAGAAAAAAGGAAAGTTATGTGCTTGATTCAGGGACAGAAGACTATGCAATCAAGTATAGAAGAGAATTTAAGCAGGTACAAGATGAGATTCTATTCCATAGTAGGCCAACAGAGATACCCTCGCTAATATTTAAGACACTATAAGGAAGAAAAAAGGCAAAACCTAGAGAGTTGTCTGGAGAATAATAACTGTCCCTAGGGTTTACAAGAGTTACAGCCTCCATTCTCCATACCTCCTTATTTCTAGGTTCCCAAGAGGCCCATTTTCTACTCTTCCTCATCTAACTTTAACCTACATAGTCCCTTTCTGAATTTCCAAAAATAATAGCAATGTTTTCTTTATTATAGACTGGGACAGTACCATTTCCTCTACACCTACAAATAAAGAATGCGAAACCTTTATATTACTGCTAAAGCTATAATAGGTGAAAATGTATTCCCGACAACCCAGATTAATTCTGAATACAATTTTCTTTTCATATATATATATATATATACATTATTGCACTTTAGATTCTGGGGTACATGTGCAGATCATGCAGAATTGTTGCACAGGTACATACATGGCACTGTGGTTTGCTGCCTCCATCCCCCTGTCACCTATATCTGGCATTTCTCCCCAAGTTATCCCTCCCCAACCTCCCTACCCACACTGTGCCTCCCCTAGTCCCCCGCAACAGACCCCAGTCTGTGATGCTCCCCACCCTATGTCCATCCATGTGTTCTCATTGTTCAACACCTGCCTATGAGTGACAACATGAGGTTCTGAACACAATTTTCTAAAAAGTTTGATTGTAGTAGTTAAACAGAACTGCTAAACACTATACTTCAAATATATCATGAATCAACTAGAATTTTATAAATTAGCTTGGGAATTGAACACTATATAATCCATTGTCTATGAACAAATTTGCCTTACATTTCAAACATCTTATTTTCTTTTCTTTTGAGATGGAGTCTCATTCTGTCACCAGGCTGGAGTGCATTGGTGTGATCTCGGCTCACTGTAACCTCTGCCTCCTGGGTTCAAGCAATTATTCTTCTGCCTCAGCCTCCCAAGTAGCTGGGACTACAGGCACATCACCACCACGCCCAGCTAATTTTTGTATTTTTTTTAGTAGAGACGGGGTTTCACCATATTGGCCAGGCTGGTCTCGAACTCCTGACCTCATGATCCACCCACCTTGGCCTCCCAAAGTGCTGGGAAACACATCCTATTTTCAAAAAACTTCTGGAACAGAATTCTTATGTAAATCAGAGACTATCTCTTAACCAGATCACTGAAAAAGATCTGCTGTTTCAGTTAGTTACATTGCTTTAACATTTAATGAAGTTATTACTTATACATACATATTAGGATAAACAACAAGTATTCTCTGCCCTAAGGATTACTGCTCAAAATCAAACTTTCCTGTATCGTACTCATTATAAAATATGTAATACATATATGTAGGTATTCATACAAACTTTAATACCTTAAACAGGTACCCTTAACACCAGTTCTTTGGTTATACTATGACATCTGCTAATACTTATGCACTACTACCCTTAACCTCTAGCTTCTCTTTCAAGACCATATTTCCAACTCACTTATTTCCTAGTTGGCTATCCTGCTGTCATTTAATAAGGGGTCAAACTATTTAATAAACAATCTGAGGGTCTAATATAGGAGTAAGCAAACTATAATCAGCTGCCTGTTTTTATGAATAAAATAATAATAATGAAATATACTCATTTATTTACATATTGTCTGTGGCTGCTTTTATTTTAACAGCAGAGTTGAGTAGCTGAGACAGAGGCCATATGGCCCACAAATGTATTTTAATATCTAAAAATATTTGTTATCTCTTCCTTCACAGAAAGAGTTTACCAACCTATTGCCTAGCATGTACTGATGCTGAATTAGATACCAGATAATAAAACAAAAAAAACCCCAAGCCCTTAGGGAGCTTAGACCAATAGAAGGGAAAAAAGCCATATAAGTAAATGTAACATTAGAAGCTTTATGGTTCCAGATTTAATAGGAGCATAAAAACAACAAAAGTCATTTGGTGGGAGAGAAAGTAACACCAAATGCGTGCTCTACAGGTGTGAGGGTGCAAAAAGAAAAGCAACCCAGGAAGTGGGAAGAACATGAACAAAGGAATAAAGGCCCAAATAGCCCACCACATCTGAAAAGCTGCCAAGAGTGTGGTATGAGGGTATCTAAAATAGCAAGGTAAGAGAAAGGCTAGAAAAGTGAGCAAAACTCAAGTGACAAAAGGAACCACGCCATGCTAAGGAAATTAGATTTCACTGTTTAGGTAATGGGGAATTTTTTAAGTATCTTTAAGTAAGTAAGGATTCATAAATGTGTTTCTAAAGTTCAGTGTATCTCCAATATGTGGGATAATTTAGAAGCAGATGAGAAAAGAGCCAGGAAGATCATTTATAAGACTTTCCAATAGTCCAGTTGAGAAATAATGAATATTTAAATTATGGTAGTGACAGTGTGAATGAAAGAGAAATAATTATAAGACATTAAGGAGATAGAAATGACCAAACATGTGCTCTGATGAGAAAACATGGAGTACAAGAATAGATATCAAAAATAACTCCTAGGTTTCTGACTGAATAGAGAATGATATCATTCATCAAAAGAAGAAAAATAGGAAAAAGCAGGTTTGGAGGAAAAGTAATAAGGTTACTTTTAAACAAGGTGAATTTTGAGGTACTTGGGAGACACACATGATATCCATTAGGCATTTAAACAGATAAGCCTCTACTCAGAACTGTCCAGGACACAAACATGTATTTGTAAATCATCAACCTATAGGAGGTAGTTAAAGCTGTGGGAATGGAAGGGATTATTCTGCAGATTGTAAATGAGAACCATATCAAAGACACATCAATGGTTTTTCAATACAAAGATAGGGCATTACAGAAGGAAAATAATGTCATAACAGAAGAGGGAGAGGACAGAGAAGAGAAAGGCAGCCAAAGAGTTAGGAAAAGTAAGCCTGCAGACAGAGCCAAAAGAAGTATTCATATTAAGGAGATAAAGATGGTCAACAACATTAAAAGAAGGTAAGATAAAAAGATAATACATGGTAAAGGGCCAGCACAGGTTCAACAAATGAAAACTATAAATGAGAATAAAGAGAAACTGGAGCTCATTGATCTAGGAGATATTCTGTTGAATTTTGAGCAGGCTCAATGGACGGGTAAAGATGGAGACCAGAGGATAGAAATATAAAAAATGAAAACAGGCCAGGCACAGTGGCTCATTCCTGTAATCCCAGCTCTTTGGGGGGCCAAGGTGGGTGGATCATTTGAAGTCCGGAGTTCGAGACCAACCTAGCCAATGTGGTGAAACCCCACCTCTACTAAAAATACAAAAATTATCTGAGCTTGGTGGCGGGTACCTGTAGTCCCAGCTACTTGGGAGCTGAGACAGAGGAACTACTTGAACCCGGGAGGTGAGGTTGCAGTGATAGATCCTGCCACTGCACACCAGCCTGGGTGACAGAGCAAAACTCGAGTCTCAAAAAAAAAAAAAAAAAAAGGAAAAGGAAAAGAAAAGAAAGCTAGTGGTAAGGAAACTATAGCTTTAGGAATAAACCATCTCAATTATATCTTATGCTTTTAAACAAATTATACTGAGGTTTTGGCTAAAAATCTAGACTTTTTGTTGAACGATTTAAAGGAATGTTGATAAGCAACATGCTCACCTCGTGATGTATTCGCTGATAAACTTTTTGTTCATTGTCTAATACTACGAAAGATTCAGAGGGCGCCGCATCCCCATTGAAAATGAAGCTTAGATCCCCTCGTTGGCACTTCATGTCAGTAAAGTCTATGAGAGTTGTGTCAAGCCTGTGAAAGATGGGTAGATGAGAAACTCTGACAAATATGATTTTGATAAAACTTCATTCATAATTAAATAAGTTTTATTCCTTCTAAACTCAAACCAAGATGCCTATACCACTTTGCAAAGTCAAATTTATAGATAAAAACTATATTCAAAATATTCTATTAAAAAAAGACTATTTAAAGACATATTCCATTTTAACTATATTTCACTTTTCTGAATATATATATATATATATATATACACATACACACACACATACACTTCATTAACCAGAAAGAAAAAAATATGATCCCCCATATTTAGAGCATTTCCCTTACTGTCCCCTTGTTTCCTACCATTTCCCTTACTGTAGCTACTCAATAAAAGTGAACAGAGAAGGAAAGGAAAGGAACTCAGACCTGTCTGACATTCCATTTCTTTAAGACCATGTTGCTAGCTCAGCAGAGTATTTAAGACCAGACAGCAATGGATGGACCACATTCTTGGAATTGAGATATATACCCATACTTTATGCCTAACCTTCTGATACCAAATTTTGCTTTATCCTTCAACTTGATAAACCATTTAAGTTTCTATAAATTCTAGGCCTTTCTGTTTGACTTCTCAGATTCGGACTAGTATTCTCTTCCCAGCCAACATCTCCACAGCATGGAAACCTTATGGATCATTCTGTATCAATACTCATAGATTCATACGTTTGTGTGTTGACCATGCTCTTTGGTAACCTGGACCTGCCATGGTCTAGCCTAATGCGCTGGTCTCAAACAATGTTCCACAAAGCGCTACTTGCTGAAATTAGGAAAAATACTGAAAATAAAAAGTTTACAAGTACACTGATATGCTTCAATCTCGCACATGGCTTTATAGGTAAGGATCACCCTAGCTAACTGGCTGCTCAAAATGCACAGTCCTAAGCCCAAGAAACTAGTTGGCCCAGCTGTAAAGTGATGCTGATCACATCTCCAGGAAGATCTTTTAAGGCTCCTTGAAAGATTCACCCTGGCTACTGAATTTCTAATGCAACTGTAAGAACTCATTACTCTGCAGGTTTTTAAGTTCTCATCACAAACATGGCAAAGTGAGTCAGTATTCTTGGTTTCCCTATAGAGGAAAAACAGAAATAAAACATGTCTCACATGCTGCATGAAAAGAATAACTGGGGTAGGGGGCTGGGTGCAGTGGCTCACGCCTATAATCCCAGCACTTGGGGAGGTTGAGGTGGGCAGATCACAAGGTCAGGAGATCGAGACTATTCTGACCAACATGATGTAACCCCACCACTACTAAAATACAAAAAATTAGCCAGGCATGGTGGCATACGCCTGTAGTCCCAGCTACTCGCGAGGCTGAGGCATGGGAATCACCTGAACCCAGGAAGAGGAGGGTGCAGTGAGCCAAGATTGTGCAACTGCACTCCAGGCTGGCAACAGAGTGAGACTCTATCTCAGAAAAAAAAAAAAAAGAAAATAATAACTAGGGTTACATAGAATTTATCATCAACATTAATAATGTCTAAGAATGAAAATGACACTATTGATAATTCTGCCAGGAAAACGGGTGAGCCGGAGCAAGGAGAGAAATATGGTTGCCTTATGTATAAGGTATCAAGAAGCCCTAAAAAACTAACTCATCAACTCACACGGTGAGGGAGCGGGGTGACCCTGCCTGTTGTTTTATAGCTGAATTCAGCTTTTATTCCACTCCCAGAAGCTAGAATTCAGCTATATTACTAATTAAGACCTGTCATTGCTTGAGCATGAGTCCTAAGAGAAAACAGTATTAAAGGGGCTCATCCCCTATCTCTACAAGATGTGGGCTCCTGATAAGACCAAAAAAGAACAGATCATTTTATATATAACTATACTACTTGGGCTCCAAGCTTCAGCGATCAGGGAACATTATGTTTCACATAAAAGAAGAAATGGGCTGGGCCGAGCGAGGTGGCTCAAGCCTGTAATCCCAGCACTTTGGGAGGCCGAGGCGGGTGGATCACGAGGTCAAGAGATCGAGACCATCCTGGTCAACATGGTGAAACCCCGTCTCTACTAAAAATACAAAAAAAATTAGCTGGGCATGGTGGCGCGTGCCTGTAGTCCCAGCTACTTGGGAGGCTGAGGCAGGAGAATTGCCTGAACCCAGGAGGCGGAGGTAGCGGTGAGCCGAGATTGCGCCATTGCACTCCAGCCTGGGTAAAGAGAGTGAAACTCCGACTCAAAAAAAAAAAAAAAAAAAAAAAAAAAAGAAGAAATGGGCTAAAATAGTCTTCTGCCCCCATTTCCTGCTTGGTGAAAGTGGTAGTAGGTTGCCAGGAATGGGGATGAAAAGGTGAGTAAAGAGATGCACAAAGACAGAGAAAGAAAGACAAAGACAGACTGACACGGTGACCTTTGAGATTTTAGATCTAACAATATGTAAAATTAGTCAAAGAAATTTCCCAGTCATATAAATTAATACAGCCTATTTTTATTTCATCTGTGTTTCTACAATTTACAACCAAAAGGGTAAATACATTTTCTGTATATCCCTGACAGATGACCTTGTAAGCAGCATCACATATGCCTCATAAATAATTATCACAATGGCATTTTAAAGTACTCACTAGTCCTTGGCTTTAAGCCTATGATCCTAAATATTTTTAATTTTTCCCAAGTAATTAGCCATGAAGAACAAGAAGTTCTTTATACAAATGTGAAGATTTGAATAGAAAATATTTTTTAAGAAGAAAGCCTGAAAAAAATGCTAACACTAAAAAAAAGAACTAAAGACTTCCCTTAAGAAAACCCACCACCACCACCCTCCCCACAAAGGAAAAAAAAAAAAAAAAAAAAAAAAAGACAAGAAAACCCAGAAATAAGACAGTGTGCAAATATACTTTCAATCAGTGATTACAGATTACCTCTTAATTATTTATATTTATGGTCAAAATCTTTGCTAGTACTCTCAAAAATAATGTTGCTCACACTTTCCTATTTCTACTGAAGTATTAGTTTCTCTTTGATACCAGAGAAGAGAATTCAACTGATTACATGGCTGCCATGAGATAAAAAGTATTCTCTTTGAACATATTTTAAAATTTAGCTTTATTGAAATGGTGTTAAAAAATTGTCTTATGACATGTAAAATAGGAAGTTTTTATTTAATGTTAAAAGATTTTTTTCCTTTAGATTCTTATCACCTAGGCAAAAAACCTTTTGTCATGCATCCTAAAAGCTATCCTCTCCATTAATCCAGTAAGCCTTGTTTGATGAGAGCTTTCGAACCTATCACATCTCTCCTTCATCCTCAGCCACTAGTAAGCCCCATGTTTAAGTATCTTGGTAAGTTATAGTAACTTCCCCTTAAGCTACAACCTCTCTCACAATTTTTGTCCCCCAGGCTTTTACCCTCATGTTCTTGTTTTAACTTTTGTGTGTGTATGTGACAGGACCTCACTCTGTTACCCAGGTTTAAGTACAGTGCCACGACCTTGGCTCACTGCAGCCTCTAGCTCCTGGGTTCAAGTTATCCTCCCATCTCAGTCTCCTGAGTAGCTGGGACTACAGGCGCATGCCACCATGCCCAGCTAATTTTTTTGTATTTGTTGTAGAGACAAGATTTCATCATATTGCCAAAGTTGTGTTGTAATCTTATTGGTTTTATTACCTATAGTTATTATATAATGTGTACCATAACATTTACTTTAAAAAGTCATATATAAATGTGAAACAATTTTTTTTCAAAGAGACTCCTTTTTGCCTAAACCTAGGACTCAAAAAGAACAAAAACTTTTTTTTTTTTTTTTTGACACAAAGTCTTACTCTGTTGCCCAGGCTAAAGTGGGGTGTCGTGATTACGGCTCACTGCAGCCTCAACTTCCTTGGCTCAGGTGATTCTCCCACCTCAGCCTCCCAGGTAGCTGGGACTATAGGCACATGTCACCCTGTCCAGCTAATTTTTAGTACTTTTTGGAAAGATAGGTTTTGCCATGTTGCCCTGGCTGGTCTCAAATTCCTGAACTCAAGTGATCTACCTGCCTCGGCCTCCCCAAGTGCTGGGATTACAGGCATGAGCCCACCTTAAAACTAACTTTTTAAAGTATCACATAGAAGACAATAGTATCCTCTAAAATTGCCTACTATTTTTGGCAAATACCTATGTTAAAAATGTTTAAATTAATGAAACCATAATATTTGCTAACAAAAGGCTGCTGAATTAATTCTACATCAAAAATTCTTTCTACTTAATTTTTCTTCTGTTTTTCTGTATTTTCCAAGTTTTCTATAATGATAATGCATTTAAGGTACAGGAGCACTTTTCTATTTTATTTTTTATCTTTTTATTTATTTTATTTTTTTAAATAGAGACAGAGTTTCACCGTGTTAGCCAGGATGGTCTCTATCTCCTGACCTTGTGATCTGCCCATCTCAGTTTCCCAAAGTGCTGTGATTACAGGCATGAGCCACCTTGCCCAGCCCAGGAGCACTTTTATAATTAGAAACACCTGGAGAGGTTTTGTTTTAAAAAAACAAAACAAAACAAAACAGGCTAGGTGTGACGGCTTACACCTGTAATCCCAGCACTTTGGGAGGCCGAGGTGGAAGAATCACTTGAACCTGGATGTTCGAGACCAGCCTGGGCAATATAGTAAGACCCCATCTCTATTATTTAAACACACACACACACACACACACACACACACACACACAGAGAGAAATATCTACCTTAACCAAATTCCATTGCTTAAGGATAATTATCCAGGAATTTAAACTAAAAGTTATTACTTCACTAATTCAAAATACTCAACAATAAATTTCTCAGAAATAGCTGATTTTTAAAAACTTCTGCTTTGTGTCATGGCTAGAACAGCGAACAAGGAGTCAGAAGTCCTGGTTCAGCCATTAATTTGTAAAACGCTCTTGTCAAAAATCACTGAACTTCTCTGAGCTTTCTCACCTCTAAATGAAGAGTATATATGAGATAATTCTTCCTGTTATTTCTAGTTCTAGACCCTTAAACATTCAAATTAATATTCTCGAGATATATAGACACATACATATACAAAATTATATACATACATGTATACTATTTATAAATATGCCAATATATACATATATAAATTGGCATATTCACTAGCATTATATATAGTTTATAAGTAGGTAATTTATAAATATGGCTATATTATTATAAAGCAAAAGATATAAAGAAATATAAAAGTAAAATTCTCATATAAGTTAAATAGATGTATTTTCCCTCAGATCCAAACATCAATCTTAGTTATAAAAGGAACAGAATAGAAGGAAATTAAAATTCTCCTCAAAGTATTCACTGGAATGGATAGATGAATGAATGAACGATGAATGGATGCACAGATGAGTAAACAGGGGAGGGAAAGATATGAAAGATCTGAAAGAAAAAGGCAAGAATTGGGTCTTCCTTATGTGTCGCTTATTCCTTAATAAATTCAGGATCAGGAAGGTAACCACTGTAAATCTTCTTAATATTACACCAAGATCCTCACTATTTGCTTCTAGATAGTCTGTAGTTGATTAAGAACAGTATCTTTTATGTCTTTTCCACTTTGAGTTTGTTCTCTAAGTAATTAAAAAAAAATTCTGTGTCTTTGGTTTCTTATCTATATATCTCAAGTGAGATAAAATATTGTGAATCCGTAACAGCATTTTAAAGTCATAAAACACATGTAAGTTATGATTACAGGGAGAAAAAACCTTCCTCTAAATCTCTACTTTCTTTCACTGAGAAAAAAAATCAAATCACCTTACCTGATATTGATACCTTGTTTGTATATTTTACATGCATCGGAAGGCAGAATTCGGGAAAGTAAAGGCACTGTATTTTTAAAAACAAAAGGTAAAAAATAACTACCTAAATTTTGAGATACTCACAAACCTTTAAATTAAAAGAGTAATGTGACACTTTATTAATTTATCAAATTATAATAATTTCCTTTCAAATAGTATTTTTTCATGTAAAAATAAAATATAAAAAGCAATTTTGAGAAACTTCAATATCTATTATTTAATTATAATTTCTGTATAGTTTGTTACACTCCCATCCCACCCACAAACAAGGGTAGCAGAACCAATATAATGCCACTAGGGTACAAACTGCATATTATAGATGAGAAAACAATAGCCTATGGTAACTAAACCCTCCTGAATGGATAACCAGATAGACCTGAACCTTATCTAATTTTTAAAATATAATTTGGAAAAATTGCAGGGAAGTAATGTGTATAATAGAAAGAGACATCTTTGAAGTGAGACAGTTAAATTTCAGTTTGAATCCTAAATATGTGCCTTGGTTACTTAGACTCAATATACCCGAGTTTCCAAATTTGTAAAATGGGAATCAGGCCGGGTGTGGTGGCTCACGCCTGTAATCCCAGCACTTTGGGAGGCCGAGGAGGGTGGATCACGAGGTCAAGAGATCGAGACCATCCTGGTCAACATGGTGAAACCCTGTCTCTACTAAAAATACAAAAATTAGCTGGGCATGGTGGCACGTGCCTGTAATCCCCGCTACTCGGGAGGCTGAGGCAGGAGAATTGCCTGAACCCGGGAGGCGGAGGTTGCGGTGAGCCGAGATCACGCCATTGCACTCCAGCCTGGGTAACAAGAGCGAAACTCCATCTCAAAAAAAAAAAAAGGGAATCATAGTATTTATCTATAGATTTCTACATTCCAATGTTGCTATCTATAGCTAATATACATGCCACAAGCCATATTCTGATAGTTTTTTATTATTTACTATCTGCTATTTGAGGGAGATAGGAGTTATTCTATGGATAAAGCTGCATAAAAGGCTATAATAAACTACTATGTACAAAGAAATGAAAAAAATGTGAAGCTCAAAATGTGTCAATTTCAATATGTCTTGAAATTAAGACATATCACAGGTACATGTGTACATAAGCATGTGGGTATCTGTGTGTGTGTAAGATACAGCAGGTATATCTAAAAATTGAGTGTTTTTAGAATCGGCGACAAATTAACCTGAGTTAGAAACAAAGATTGTAGAGAAAATTGAAGGCTAATTTCTTAGTTAACTTTTCAAATCATCAACATTTTCTAATTAACATTAAAAATAAATACCTAATGCAGGCCCAATACAGTGGCTTACACCTGAAACCCCAGCACTTTGAGATAAAGTTCAAAAGCAGATAAATCACTTGAGCCCAGAAGTTCAAGACCAGCCTGGGCAACATGGCAAAACCTCATCTCTATCAAACATACAAAAATTAGCCAGTCTCATAACCCAGTCTCTAAATAAATAAATAAATGAAATTTTAAAATAAAATTTAAAAAACTTTTAAGTGCTGTGAAAAAAAAAAGTACCTAATGCTTCATGACTCCTTTAGATCCTTAGAAACCATTTAATCCAAAATGACTTCCAGCACTGAAGACAGTTTTCCAAAGTTTTGTGCAAAATTAAGAAAAGTTCACTGTCCAGAGAGAATATCAACTAATTGTTGCCCTAGAGAAAGAATACAAGAAATCTTCTGATAAAATTTTTCCTTTCTCAGCTGGGCACGGTTTGGCTATAATTGCAGCCATTTGGGAGGCCAAGGCAGGAGGACTGCTTAAGCCCAGGAGCTTAAGGCCAGGCTGGGCAACACAGTAAGACCCTGTCCCTACAAAAATAAAAATGGAAAAATTAGGTATGGTAGCAGGTACCTGTAGTCCTAGCTACTCAGGAGACTGACACAAAAGGATCACTTGAAGCCAGGATTTGGAGGCTGAAGTGGGTTGTGATCATGCCACTGTACTCCAGCCTAGGTGACACAGTAAAATCCTATCTTTTGGAAAAAAAAAAAAAAAAAAAAAAAGCTTTTTTGAAACAAAAATTGAGAAGAGCAATAATAGTGTAATTCTATAAATGATCAAAGCTCTTCTTTCATGCTCATTAATTGAGATCCATCCTTAAGTATTTAGTGTAGCATGAACCAAAGATGATTACAAGTAGATAGCACTACAACTTAGGTTAATTTAACTTCATTACGTCTCATTACTTATTTACTTTGGTCTCACTATACTGGCCAGGTTTTGTATTGACCAGGTTGGTCTTGAACTCCTGGCCTCAAGCAATCCTCCCACCTCAGCCTCCCAAAGTGCTAGGATTACAGGCACAAGCCACCACAGCCATACCCAGCCAACTTTATTACATCTTTTTAAGTAATTATAATAACCTACAAAAACAGAATTTAATATCATACACCAAAACTCGTATTAAAAATCAGGAAAGAAGTAAGACGGGAAGGCAGAGAGAAAACAAGTTGGGGATTGAGAGCAAAAGTTAAGAAAAAAAAGAAAAGAAAAATTATTGAGCAAAAAATAAAGATTTCTGATAGATTTTAATACATTCCAAAACACAGCAATTTATATTTTCCCAATTCTAAAATAACTTTTATTCTACCCCGTGTAAATTAAACAACCAACCTATTTCCTAAGTTATCTCAATCTAATTTAAGTTTAGCACAGTATTTCAAGAGTAGCATAATTCACTAAACAGATAATGAAGAGTTTTTAAATTAAAATTTTCATTTTGCTACCACTTACTCCCCAATTTTCTTTCTTTCTTTTCTTTTTCTTTTTTTTGAGATAGAGTCTCACTCCGTCACCCAGGCTGGAGTGCAGTCACGCAATCTCAGCTCATTGCAAACTCTGGCTCTTGGGTTCAAGCAATTCTCCTGTCTTAGCCTCCTGAGTAGCTGGGATTACACAAGCCTGCCATCACGACTAGCTAAGTTTTGTACTTTTAGTAGAGATGGGGTTTCACCATGTTGTCCAGGTTGATCTCAAACTCCTGACCTAGGTGATCCGCCCGCCTCAGCCTCCCTAAGTGCTGGGATTACAGATGTGAGCCACCTTGCCCAGCCTACTCCCCAATTTTCAGATGAGTTTCTCAGCCTAATGTTTTCCATCTATAATACACATGCATAATGCTAAATTTAAAGTAGTGATCATATTATAAATTATTTGACCCTTTATAATATACAAAGGTCTGTCTTCAAAAAAATTATTTTATTTCATCACAACAAAAAAAATTTGCAACAGGTGGGGTAGTTACTATTATATTCATTTTTAAAATGAAGAAACAAGCTCAGAAAAAATATAAAATATGTGATTTGCCATGTCAAATACTTAGGGGCAAGTACTTCCAATTCCAATTCAAAGCTTCTCTATATATACACACCCAGCTGGAATATTTCAGTTACGTTCAGAATTGTTATTAACCAAGTCTGTGGCTCTTTTCTCTGAAGTCTGAATATAAGTAACAGCATAAAAAAAAGTGTGCTCTTCTATCTCAAAAGTAAACTCACCCTGATTTCAGTATTTCTTGGCTTCCCCTTATTTCTGGCTTGCCTTTTTAAAAACTATTATGTGTTTTGATAAGGGAAAGAAATATGCCAAAACTTTTTTAAAAAGTTTGATAAGAAAGCATATTTTAAAAGAATCAGAATACAAAGTACTGGTCATTATGTGGAATAATGAGAATTAACATTTTGAGTATTGGTTATTTGATAACATTTTCCGTTACACATTCTAGTGTCGAGTAAGATGAAAACTTATCTAAAGGACTTCCCACAGTGACTACACTGAAAGGATTTTTCACCAGTATGAATTATCTTATGCTGACAAAGTGTTGAGCAAGTATTAAAGGCCTTCCCACAGGCATGGCATTTAATAAAATCTAATAAAAGATCTAGGCTATCTATAAGCCAATAGGTTTTGTTTTAAAATTACACATGACATCTAATCATCAAGTACTAAAGGTTGTTACTTTAAATCAATAAAATTCTTTATTAGCAATGAAACAGATGTGCTGACTTTTTGCATCAAAGCCAAGTTCTCAAAGAAGGAATATTTTGGACAACTGTCTCAATGGTTACTTCAGGAACTCTATGCAACATTTACAATGTATTGTTTATAAATGTAGATACATACACAATTTTAGGAGTGATTGTGTATATTTATATCTTTTAGTTTAATTAAAATATCACTTTTAAAATATTTTATAACATTTTGTTCAGCAATATACATTGACTATTTTAGAATTCAAACCATTAATGATTACTAAGAGAATCAGTTAAAGAGCCCAGATACTTAAGGGACAACCCATTTTAGGATCACAAAGCAGATTGGGGCCTCTACAAATGGGGAAAAATGGGGTAAAAAAGTTAGTATTCAGGCTTTAGACCAATCTGACTTGGAGTTCCTTTACTACACAAGGCTACTATAAACCTGTTTTTCCATGTGTTCTAGGACACCAGCAAGAACTCCTGAATGATATATAAAGCACATAAGCAAGATGGGACTATCAGGGTAACAAGACTGCATAATCTGTCATAGAGCCAAAACTAGCCTGATGAACTAGAGTTATAACAATGTGAGAAAAAACTGATTAAATTTAGAATTTTAAACTCTCTATGCAAGGATTAAACATACTAGAAAAATCTTAATCATCCATGCCATAAAGTACTATGGCAGCTATTAAAATTAATGAAGGACTTCAACATAAAATATGGTAAGATGCCTACAACAGGTTGAATATGGCTGGGCATAGTAGCTCATGCCTGTAATCTCGGCACTTTGGAAGGTTGAGGTGGGCAGATCACCAGAGGTCAGAGGTTTGAAAGCAGCCTGGCCAACATGGTGAAACCCTGTCTCTACTAAAAATATAAAAAATTAGTCAAGTGTGGTGGCGCGCGCATGTAGTCCCAGCTACTTGGAAGACTGAGGCGGGAGATCCCTTGAACCCGGGAGGTGAGGTTGCAGTGAGCTGAGATCGAGTGACTGCACTCCAGCCTGAGTGATAGAATGAGACTCCCTCTCAATAAATATATAAATATGTCCACTTGCATAATGATGTAATAGTGTGATCCTATGGAAGAAAAAAACCTAATTCTGAGGGGTTGTGTGTGCAGAGATATATATGCAAACACTTTAGTAAGCACTGAAAAGCATTTGAAAGTATTCATATGAATTAACAGTGGTTACCTCCAGGAAGTGGTAATGGGGAAACATAAAAATATCTGATAATTTGCTATAATGTTCAAAAGTTTTACAGTGAATATTCTATTAAGAATAGATTAAAATCTTAGTAAATTCTGTGAATAACTTTAGTATTAAATTATAAATTGCTGGACACGGTGGCTCATGCCTGTAATCCCAGCACTTTGGGAGGCTGAGGTGGGCAAATCACTTTGGGAGGCTGAGGTCAGGAGCTCGAGACCAGCCTGACCAACATGGAAAAACTCTGTCTCTACCAAAAATACAAAATTAGCTGGGCGTAGTGGCACATGCCTATAATCCCAGCTACTTGGGAGGCTGAAGCAGAAGAATCACTTGAACCTCGGAAGCAGAGGTTGTGGTGAGCCAAGATCGCGCCATTGCATGCCACCATGGGCAACAAGAGCGAAACTCCATCTCAAAAAAAAAAAAATTATAAGTTGTATTACTCAAAGCTCACTAAAAGGCATAATATAATTTTAAGAAATGTATACATGTTATAAAATCATTGTTTAAAATTTACATAAGCTGTAATTTATATAAGCTGAAGAGGAAGTCTGATTTGTATCTAAAAGCTCCAAATAAAGAAGGCAGTTTACTAAAAATATAATCTGTAAAAAATTGTTACTTGTTGAAAAGAGACCAGATCAAGACAGTAGAAAACTACTACTTTTTCATACAGTAGAGAGAAATAAGTGTTAATGGACTTCAGATTTATTGCTGCATTTATTTTTTTCAGAAGAAATCAGAAGATGTAAAGGAATTAGAAGAAACAGCAAGTATGACTATTAATTAAAGTTTAAATCTGGTAACTTCCTAGGCATTTTATTGCTATATGGTATATTGTATAACCTATTGTCTTACCGATGAGTTGAAACTGAATTTGCAAACCCAAGTGTATTGTGAGAATGTCATAACTTCTTAAAGGTTAACAAATGTCAGATGTAATGTTATAAATTAAGTTGCATTTATTGACCTACCATAGACAAGGCCTAAAACTGAAATTTCTATTACCCTTTTTTTTTTTTTTTTTTTTTGAGACAGAGTCTTGCTCTGGAAATCCCATTACAAATTGCCTGGGAAGAGCAGTAGCAGCACTGGATGGGGCTAAGTACTATAAGTAATTTCCATTTCACAGTGTAGAATTTGTTTTTAAATGTATAGAGAAAACCATAGAGGCACAGAATATAGAACTAAAAAGAAACAGATCTGCTAGTTCAAAATTCCTGTTCTACTGACTGAATTATTTGTCCAAAGTCCCTCATTTGGTATAATATGTATATGTGCCTGGGCGACAGAGCAAGACTCTGCCTCCAAAAAAAAAAATTTTAATTTAGACGCTTTAAAAAAAAACACATATAAGCTCATTTTGTCCAAACCTTATAGATTATATTTTTAAAAAATATTTAAAAACAACAAAATGACTGCAAAAAATCTAGGGCAAAATTAGGGTCTTTCATAAGTCATGAACCAGTGTTCAACCAAATAGTATATAAAGAAAGTGGCTATAAAGTATGCAAGGGGCAAAATAATTAAAAGACAACAAAATATTCATAAACAAAAAATGTTAACTAAATTCTCCACATTCAGATTTCAAACATCCTTAAATTCAGTAGTCCAATAATCTTATAATTATTTTCTTTTCTAAAAATTCCTTGCATTCTATTATTAAATTTTAAATGCTTTTTGTAAAACAAAATTTTTAAAAGTAAAAATACCATTTTCAACCTTAAAATTGGGCTGGGCATGGTGGCTCATGCCTGTAATCCCAGCACTTTGGGAGGAGGAGGCAGGTGGATCACCTGAGGTTGGGAGTTAAAGACCAGCCTGACCAACATGGAGAAACCCCATCTCTACTAAAAATACAAAATTAGCAGGGCATGGTGGTGCATTTCTGTAATCCCAGCTATTCGGAAGCCTGAGGCAGGAGAATCGCTTGAACCCAGGAGGTGGAGGTTGCACTGAGCCAAGATCAAGCCATTGTACTCGAGCCTGAACAACAGAAGCAAAACTCCATCTCAAAGGAAAAAAAATTGGCCAGATGTGGTGACTCACTTCTGTAATCCTAGTACTTTGGGAGGCTGAGGTAGAAGGATTCCTTGAGCCCAGGCGTTTTAGACCAGCCTGGAAGACGAAGTGAGATTCCATCACTACAAAAAATAAAAATAATTAGCCAAGTGTGATAGCATGTGCCTGTAGTCCTAGCTACTCAGAAGGCTGATCGGGGAGGACTGCCTGAGCTCAGGAGTTTGAGTCTGTAGTAAGCTGTGATCGTACCACTGCACTCCAGCCTGGGCAACAGTGAGAACTTGTCTTTAAAAAAAAAAAAAAGATTTATTAAAGTTACTAATCAGGTTGGAATAATTAAATATTGTAGGACTTTATAACCATTACACTTCAATATCATAAAAATACTTTTCTTCAGAGCAAGTATTAAATTTGTTATCCTAACATTTCTATATGAGTTACTTTTATACTTGTATTTTTGCATGAGTACATATTTTATAGTGAAACACAGCAGACTCTTACCCCAGCTTTGAAAATCCCAGTGAAGTTCTAGATAAAAGTCACCTAGCTGAAAAATGAAATATGAATAATTACTAAATGCATCTTAGTTAACAGCTCTTATGCTTTAAAAAATATTTTATCATCAAAGGTCTCTAGTCAGAAGTAGGAAATGATAAAAAATTAACTTTAATGTTTGAAATTTGATAGAAAAATATGGCTATTCCTTAAAATAAAACAGTATAATACATGCATTACTATACTTAGTTACAAAGGAAAATATGCACCTGTATATTTTATAAGAATATTTTAATTACACAGTAACATATCTGAAACAGGTAAGCATTTAAATTTGCATCAATAAATATTATACTTCCCAATATAAACATTTAAATTTATATCAATAAATATTATACTTCCCCTTATAAACAAAAAATATATATAATTTTTTAAATAGTTAACTTTAGAAGTGTTATTAAAAATTACTACCAAAATGATTATTTGTATAGCCTCATAATGGCATTTAAAAAATGGCCCATTGTAATAGAAAATATTTTTTGGTAAAGGAATAATATAAGTTTATTAAATCTGAAACATATCATCATATAATATCTGTTAAAAAAAAATCTTATTTCTTTTTGAGATGGAGTCTCACTCTGTTGCCTGGGTTGGAGTGCAGTGGAGTGATCTCCGCTCACTGCAACCTCCGCCTCCTGGGTTCAAACAATTCCCCTACCTCAGCCTCCCAAGTAGCTTGGACTACAGGCATCTGTTACCACATCCAGCTAATTTTTTTATTTTTATTTTTAGTACAGACAGGGTTTCACCTTGGTCAGGCTGGTCTTGAACTCCTGACCTCAGGTGATCTACCCACCTTGGCCTCCCAAAATGCTGGAATTACAGGCGTAAGCCACCGTGCCCAGCCGAAAAAAAAAATTTATTTCACATATTAGAAGCTGGACACCAAAGACTATAACGTTAAGGAAACTATTACAAACAAATAGTCTCAAAATATAAAAGGGGGAGGGTATACATTCTAAATATAAGTAAAGCATTACAAATATAGCAACATCAACAAGTTAGTCTTTTTCAATGATAAAAGTGAATGTTAATAGTAGATATCATTGTAACATGAGTAAAACATTTTTCTGGCTCTTTCTATATTTCCTCCTCAGATCTAAAAAAAAAAAAAAGCACCACTAACAGAGATAAGCTATCATCATATCATCATGACAGGTCCATCTTTCTCCCACAGTTCTTTCAGGCAGCAGAAATAGAGAGGAAGAAATGAACAGTGGAAAACAAACCACTCTTTTTTTGTGCCAGCATACCCAGCTCTTACCACAAGGAGGTAGGACAGATTTAAAGAGTTTTTGTTATACAAAGAAAATACAGGCCAGGCACGGTGGCTCATGCCTATAATTCCAGGATTTTAGGAAGCTGAGACAGGTGGATTGCTTGAGCTCAGGAGTTTGAGACCAGCCTGGGCAACATGGCAAAACTCTGTCTCTACTAAAAATACAAAAAATTAGCTGGGCGACAGAGTGAGGCACTGCCTCCAAAAAACAAAACAAAACAAAACAAAACAAACCGCTACTTCTAGTAGCAGTGGCTTTAGCTGTAGAGAATCTTCCAATTGAAAGGCAAAGGAAAATTACTGCCATTGACTATGACATAACTCCTTTTTCTTAAGAGCTCTAATTTATTGAAAGTAATAAATCTTTATCTTCCTAGTTCAAAGTGAGGTGCTTCTACTAAGATTACATTTATATATAATTATTACTTAATTTAAGCATGATTTTTACCATTTCTTGGCCCTTAATAATAAGTGAGAATTTAAATTGTATTAAGAAAAAAATGCTTAAAACTACACTTGTAATTACTCTCAAGGTGCAAAATTAGCAAAGAAATATAGCTTACCTCTTTCAGGGCTTTTAATAATCGAGGTCGTTTTTCTTCAACACTTTCCCTGGATTGCTGCTTAAGCTTCCTTAAAAGAGCTGTAACTAAAGTTTAAATTTTAAAAATAATTAATTTAATTTTCATCATTGAATAAAAATATTATTGTCTTATACATACAGACGCCAATATGTGTATGTGCACGTGTGCGTGTGTGTGTAGCTACAACCACAATATATTTTGAAAGGACAAAAATCAAAGAGCAATGTTTAAATTACTGAAGGTCTCTTGGAACAGTAAAAGAAGCTGAGACATAGAAGTCAGAAAACATGGGACCTATACAGACAGAATAAGATAGTAAGTGAATTTAGTAAAACCAGTATGATCCCCGAAAAATAATAAAAGAAATTTCAACATCAGCCTATACCATATTCACACTTTTTCTTTTCTTTTTCTCTTTTCTTTTCTCTTTAACAAAGGGAAAGCTCGAACGCAGTCCTCTACTACCACAAATTATGCAGTCAAGTTTCCCACATTTGGGGAAATTGTAGGGATCAGCACAACTGGAGGGCAATGGATAAGCCTCGCCCTGGGAAAACCACCTTTGTGATCATAGCATCTCCCATGCCAGGTAAGTATTCTTCGCACTAACTTTTACTAGTTTTTAATTATCAGTAAGGATTTACCTAACTGTGCCAAGATAACCAAACTCATTCCAATGATGCAATGTCCTATTATAACACTGACCTCAAGGAAGATCTCAAAGACAACAGACCTCAAAAATCCCACTGGAAACCACTTTTCTAAAAACATATAATTACCTGCAAATGTTACCAGGTGTATCTGTTCTTTTTTCACTGGAGGATATACCTTCACCTACTACCAATACAGTATAAAAAATACAAAAATGAATATTATTGTATCTGGAACAAGAACATCTGAATCCAAAAAAACCTAAAGTCCTCCATAGTATATTTTCAGATACTAAGAGATCGAGATTTAAGCACATTGCTGAAGTTCAAACCCTAGCTTTATCACTAAGTAGTTGTGTGTAAACTTTGACAAGTTACTACCTAATTTCTCTAAACTACTTTTTTCCTCTCCTTTATCAAGTAAGAATAGAAGTAAGGGCACAGTGGCCTGCTCCTGTAGTCCCAGCTACTCAGGAGTTTAAGGTGAAAGGATCACTCAAGCCCAGGAGTTCGAGACTAGCCTGGAAAACATAGTGAGACCCCATCTCCATAAAAAAAAAAAAAACAAAAAAAAACGGTGGCTCACGCCTGTAATCCCAGCACTTTGGGAGGCCGAGGCGGGTGGATCACGAGGTCAACTGATCGAGACCATCCTGGTCAACATGGTGAAACCCCGTCTCTACTGAAAATACAAAAAAATAGCTGGACATGGTGGCACGTGCCTGTAATCCCAGCTACTCAGGAGGCTGAGGCAGGAGAATTGCCTGAACCCAGGAGGCGGAGGTTGCGGTGAGCCGAGATCATGCCATTGCACTCCAGCCTGGGTAACAAGAGTGAAACTCCACCTCAAAAAAAAAAAAAAAAAGAAAAGAAAAAAATTAGCTAGGGCTTGATGGTGTGTACCTGTAGTCCTAGCTACATGGGATGCTAAGGCAGGAGGAGTGGTTGAGCCCAAGAGTTTGAAGCTGCAGTGAGCTATGACCATGCCACTGCACTCCAGCCTGATGGACAGAGCAAGATACTGTGCCTACAATTAGCTAAATATAATTTTTATCTATTAGAATGAAGATGTAAAATTCACTGTCAAAAATCAATTAATTAATGCATAACATTTACCAAAATAAAAAAAATATTAGACTTGAATGAAATAAGCATAGGAAAAAAACAGGAACATGAAAAAATGTGCACTGGGAGGAAACATATACATCAATACATGTTAATTTCCTCCTGGTTCTAACATATTTCATATACATACATATACATATGTCTTCTGAGGGCTTTTTAAAAATCAGTAAATTATTTTTATTACTTCACAGTATGCATTCTTATAAAACACTTCAAGTTCCATGTGGAACACAGAAGCAGAAGGCGAATAAAAAAAGGTAGTGAAACCTTGGACCAGATTTTTTTTTGTCCACATAGGCCCAAAATTAGAAAAAATCTAGGGAAGGATATAAAAATAGTAGGAGCCATTCTTATTTTTAACCACAGGTCTAACTAAATTCCAATACACTTTAAAAAGCCAAAAATCAAAGAACGATGTTTAAATTATTGAAGATCTCTCAAAATAATAAAAACTGAGACACAGAAATCAGGAAACACAGGACCTAGTTTCAGTTCTACCATTTACTACCTCGGTGACCTGAAATCACTAGTTCCCAAATACAAATCTACATTTTCTCTGCCCAGTTGTTTGAGTTTCCAATGGTATGCAGCAAAATGAGAAAAAGAGTGAATTAGAATGAGTTTTTTCTTTTTTCTTTGAGACAGAGTCTTGCTTTGTCACCAGGAACCAGGCTAGAGTGCAGTGGCCCGATCTCGGCGAACTGCAACCTCCACCTCCCAGGTTCAAGTGATTCTCCTGCCTCAGCCTCCCAAGTAGCTGGGACTACAGGTGTGTGCCATCACGCCCAGCTAATTTTTGTATTTTGTAGTAGAGAGGGGGTTTCATCATGTTGGCCAGGATGGTTTAGATCTCTTGACCTTGTGATTCACCCACCTCGGCCTCCCAAAGTGCTGGGATTACAGGCGTGAGCCATGGCGCCCGGCCCTAAGTTTTTTCTTAATAAATTATTTAAAGATTCTTATTCCTACTTTTGGTTTCAAATATCTTTTTTAAAAATAAAATGTGGATAACAAAAGACAGTAGTTATCTTTTTTATAAAGTTCTGATAGTCTAAAATGAAAAAGTTAGATTCCTATCAATCCCCGTAAAATTTTTTTGTCTGGTCTTTAAAATCCAAAAAGTCTGAGAATCGATGATTTAGATAATCATTTAAAGATTCAAATTTGTATGAATCTGACAAATCTTCCTGTTTGTTATTATTTAACTTTAATATCAAAGTTATATTACCCAAATGTAGTACCATTCTTTTTAATGGTCATTGTTTTCCACTATAAGCTCAAGTACCTTAATAAATCTTATTCAATTTACCTTGCCTTCAGATTGAAATGGACCTCTATTGAATGTAGAGAATGGAAAGAATTCAATTACTAGATAAAAAGGGTCTTTAAATAAAAAGCAGAGGCCGTATATTTTTTTAATCGTCCTAATATAATTTTATTAACTAAACATAATAACTGACTGAAAGCATCCAGTAAATAATGACCAAACATTATTATAAAGGTAATGGCAACTACTATACATAGCATAGTATAAAATATAGGCAATGAGATCCCTTTTCTATATAAGACTTCATATTGAAAAACAGCATCAACTCAAACTTCTTATGGATGCACAAACATTCAGAAAGCAATTACACAAAATTATCAGTGCCCTTTTTAGGGATCAGAATTTGTACTCTCATATTGTAAGAATTTTACTAACATTGATTAATAATGAAGATAAAATTAGTTTTAGAGGATTTAGGTGATAACAGAATTCATACAAAGACTCACATATAAAAGTCCATAAAGCACAACTAATTTTACTTTCTCATTCCTCCTTCTCCCACTTAAGTTTACAGTTTGACTTAAAGCATTTGGAACTATGCTCTACTACTCCAAGTATTACTTAAATCTGTATCTTTTGCCCTCCACTTCCTTCTAAGCTCCAATCCATTTCCTGCTTCCTACTTGGATAATTCTACTTGATATACTACAGATAATTCAAACCCTATAAATCTAATACAAATTAAAGACCATACTGCTCTTGCTCCTATAGTCTATATATCAATTAATTAATGAAATCACCATCAATCCATAACACAGACCTTGGAGTTACTCTGAATCATTCTATCATTACCCATATCCAAGAGATCATCCATTCTGTTAAATCTTTAATCTTTCTTTTAATTACTTTCTAATCCCTTAATTCTCTAAACACACTATGTCTTTAAGTCCAGCTTATCTCATTTGTTCCAAAAATGCTTTTTCTAAATATCCCTTGCCTCCCTGACTCCACTGTATTAATTAGAAAGTCTTTTTGCTTATCTAATAATATCAATCCCTGCTTTGATGTTTTCTGGGGTTTTGCAGGACTGGAAATTGAAATTAAAATATTGACTAGCACATAAAGCTGATATCAGTATGGTCCCTTTATCATTACAACTTCATCTCTCAACATTGGTCTTTGCCCCTTCATCCATCTTTGCCATGTATCATTAAGAAGCCAAATATAGGGCCGAGCGCAGTGGCTCATACATGTAATCCCAGCACTTTGGGAGGCCGAGGTGAGTGGACCGCCTAAGATCAGGAGTTAAGACCAGCCTGGCCAACATAGTGAAACTCTGTCTCTACTAAAAATGCAAAAAATTAGCTGGGTGTGGTGGCGGGCGCCTGTAATCCTAGCTACTCGGGAGGCTGAGGCAGGAGAATCGCTTAAACCAGGAGGCGGAGGCTGCAATGAGCCAAGATTATGCCACTGCACTCAAGCCTGAGCAACAAGAGTAAAACTGTCTCAAAAAAAAAAAAAGAAGCCAAAAACATAATGTTCCCTAATCTATGACTTGTTTTTTACATTTCCATGCTTTATACACATTCCACTCTCACACACTAGAATGTCTTTTCCCACCTTTTTAACTCCTAAAATCCTTTGAACCACCTTTAATAACCAAACACCTTGCTAAAACCTGAATGACTTTCCCACTCATCTGTTTCCCCTAGGACTTTGTAAATACTTCAGAATGATGTAGAATATTCACTGGTTTCTCTCCATAACATAGGATGAGTTCCTCAATGTCAAACTTAATGACACATCCTATGTTTCTGACACATCTAGTAGGTATTTAGAACACTACTAGATGGCAATTAGAAATAGACAATTCCTGCCCTCATACACTCTGCCTAATGGGAATGGGCAGAGTACTGACATAGTATATGGGTAGAGAAAACTTCCTTGTACTTGAGCTGAGAGCTCAAGAATCAAGGAGCTGTGACAAAAAGAGGAAGATACACAAGTATGAAGAGCATGAGAAACCAAAAAGCCAGCAGAGCTGACACATAGAAAGCCAGATGGAAAGAACAAGATGAGGAAGGAGACAAAGATGATGCTATCATACTGGACCTTATAAACAAAGTTAAAAATGTTGGTCTTTGTCCTCAGAACAGAAAGTTGTAAAAAGTTTTATTTAGAGAAAATAAAATATAACAAAATATTAACAGTGGTTTTTTTTTGTTTGTTTGTTTTGTTTATTTGCTTTTTGAGACAGGGTCTCACTCTGTCCCAGGCTCCAGGCTGGAGTGCAGTGGCACAATGTCAGCTCACCACAGCCTCAATCTCCCAGGTTCGAGTGGATCCTCCCATCTCAGCTCCCAAGTAGCTGGGACCACAGGCGCATACCACAATACCTGGCTAATTTTCATATTTTTTGTAGAGACAGGTTTTTGCCATGTTGCTCAGGCTCTTCTTGAATTCCTGGGCTCAAAAGACCCACCTGTCTCACCCTCCCAAAGTGCTAGGATTACAGGTATGCCCCACTGCATGTGAAACTACAGTGGTTATCTTTGAGTGATATTATTTTCTTTTTTTCCCCCCTATAATTTCCTAATTTTCTACAACGAATGTCATTTTCTTATAAGAAAAAACATTATAAAGTTTTGAAAACTCAGAAGAGTTGTGATAAATAAAAGTCCTACTATAATACTTTATTTTTTTTAAGACAGGGTCTCACTCTGTCACCCAGGTTAGAGTGCAGTGGTGTGATCTCAGCTCACCGCTACCTCTGCCTCCCAGGTTCAATCAATCCTCCCAACTCAGGCTCCCAAGTAGCTGGGACTACAAGCACACACCACCACACTAGCTAATTCTGTACTTTTTGTAGTTTTGGGGTCCTTCTATGTTTCCCAGGCTGGTCTTGAAATCCCAGGCTCAAGCAATCTGCCTGGCCGGCCTCCCAAAGTTGAGGAAAGTCTTCTCTCAAAAGGAAATATAAAATTGAAGGCTAAATGAAGAGTTCCAGTTCAATATAAGACTGCAAACCAACACAAATTGCTGTCTCTCCCTCCAGATTAACCTTTGATGTGCCACAAAATAAGACAAAGGCTGATAGAATCCCCAAACTATTATAAGTGTACCACGACATAAATCGGCACAAACTGTGAGCAACTTCTGAAGAGTGCACAAAGAGAACAGAGCTGTCTAGATCAGGGAAAGCTAGGGACTATGGGTGAGGGATAAATTGTGGGGAAAAAGCCTTTTTATCCATATCTCCATCTCATACTGGTCTGGGCTGATCAGTGTTTACCACGTAACCATTATAAGGCAGAAAAGCAATATAATCTTGAAATTTTGTTATTAATTAGTGAAATAATTCTAAAAAGTCTCTGATAAGTAGTTTGCATTGTCTATTTTGTGGTTCAAGAATGTTAGAAAAATTATCTGAAATCAGAAACAATGGACAAATAGGCCACAAAGTTTTTGCCAGTAATTAATAATATTAGATCATCTTAGATTTTTCAAAAAACATAATTTTCTAAGCTCAGAAAATGTTAATGTAACACAAGCCAAATAATCAAAAACTAAAATCATAGTACTTAAAATAATTTCAAAGTACAGACATAGCCAGTCATGGTGGCTCACATCTGTAACCCGAGCATTTTGGGAGTCTGAGGCAGGTAGATCACCTAAGGTCAGGAGTTTGAGACCAGCCTGGCCAACATGGTGAAAGCCCATCTCTAGTAAAAATACAAAAATTGGCCAGGCGCAGTAGCGTGTGCCTGTAGTCTCAGCTACCTGGGAAACTGAGGCATGAGAATCACTTCCACCCAGTCTCAAAAACAAAAACAAAAAAGGACAGACGTATGTTCAACATTTATTGAATATATGTTCATTTATTTTAATATTTCTAATATTCTGTTGTGAAAAGCAGCAAAGGAGAAAGGACTTAAGAGTGTCTACACACATTGATTATGAGTTACATATAAACAAGGAACAACAAACTGCGGAAGGCCGCAGGAGGCCTCTGAGGAGGAAGGCCTCTCCATGACTCATGTTATGGTGCAGGGAGAACTAGGCTCTGTTACCATAAACGTTGTGCTCAAGGATGTAAAACCCCTTCGTAGCACTGTGACGTAGCCAGACTTGTAGGCTCCTTGTAAGGCCCATGTTCCATCAACTGTACATAGATAATAAGCGAAATATGTTCTTGTTTTGTGAAACTCCCAAACTGCCACTGTTATCAATTCTTAGAATGACACACCAGTTCTGGTTCACTGATTCAGTTCCGGCTCACTGATTCACTCCACCATCACTCTCTCCCCACCATTACTCCACCCCTACCCAGTAGATCAAAGTGATTGTAAACAATAAATAGTGTGGATGATCAGAGTTCTTGGCCTTCACTGTGTCCTCCAAAGAAAGGAGTGATGGCCCCGTGGTCCCACTATCTCTCTTAATCTGTCTTTTTCTCCTTCCTTTGTTGCCACCGAACATGGGATACCCATGGGTGACATAGGGCTGGTTCCCTACAATATTCTAAATGAGGGTTATTCAATTAATTATCCTTTAAGTTAGCAGTTAAGTATTTGTTTCTTGTGATGAGAAGTAATAAAAATATAAGCACTAAGCAATTATGGTTATATAATTACATAATAATGGACAATGGGATATTATTTATAATGGCTAAGATATCACTCTACATAAGAAAATCACTTTAAGAACAGACCTCAAATATATGAGCCTTAATCTTTTACCTTTAAATTGATTGCTAAATATCCTGTAACTAATTTTCCATGAAAATTCTGTTTATTGGCCTTCCCAATAATTATGAATTCTTAAACAGTAGAGACCAGGTCTTTTATTCTCCACATCTTAACACACACACATGCTTTATAGTAAGGACCAGTAAATGCTGATTCTGAATAAAAAGAATCCTTGAGGCCAGGTGCAGTGGCTCATGGCTGTAATTTCAGCATTTGGGGAGGCTGAGGCACACAGCTGAGATTACAGGTACCCACCACCATGCCCACCTATTTTTTTTGTACTTTTAGTAGAGATGGGGTTTCACCATGTTGGCCAGGCTGGTCGTAAACTCTTGACCTCAGGTGGTCCGCCCGTCTTGGCCTCCCAAAGTGCTGATAAATCTTAAGAAAGTGCCCAGAAGAGCCCAAAACATAGCATCAAAATAAGACAATCTGTGTAACATCCTAAGAGAGTTCCATATTATACATTTCTTTAACAAAACTGCCAATATTTTTAATTTCCTTTCACAAAGTTAGATTTAATTGTTCATTTTCGGCCTAAAACTATAAAGATAATACTATCACCAAGATAATATTCCCATTCATCCAGATTAAGCTTTGTAAAATTTTCTACTATTGAAATGTACTTGACAAAAATAAGATCTCTATGTGCAGTAGAAAAAAAATTATCAGTAGAAGGGAGAATAGAATAATTGAATATTCAGTATATTATCAAAAAGAGTATGATATGTTTTAGAAATACTCTTTTAAAGACTAAAACAGAATAGAGACAGTCTTATTCCTTGCTTCCAGAAAAATCTATACCTGCCAACTAAAGCAGTTAGCTATTTAACACTATGGTTATTTTCAGTTCCAATAATGGCCTAAATAATAAAGCAGTTGCTAGAAAGGACTGTCAGGTATGAATTTCTTTTTAAAAAAAGGTCTGTATTATGGATGAGTAAAAAATCAAAAAAACATCAATAAGGTAGAATGCTGCAAAAGAAAAAAAAAACCGTAATTTTAAACATGATTCCTCAATTCTTTCTGTGTACCACTAAATGTTCAAGTTCCCAAGTCATGAATTATTCATATGTAAGTTTATGGATAACTGCAAAGGTTCATATTATGGAAAGTTACAGTGAATTAAGAATATTTCAAATGCATCACTTCATATTTTTAGAATATATTCGACAACAGTAATTCATATTGCTTACTCATCTGTCTATCTCCATAGCTGATGGCTTCCGCCAGAGGGCTCCATCCCTGAGCATTTTTCACCTTGACTGGAGCATTGTGAGCCAAAAGTAAATGGGCACATTCTGCAATATAAAGTAGTGATAATATCAAACATCATGTAATTTTTAGAATCTTTAAATATAAATATATAAAAGTTTAATATACCAAATTAATATAAACAGATGAAATAAACACTGTACCATGTAGAATTATATAATCCGAAAAATTCCTATGTATCTAAACCAGGTAATTTCAGATTTCTAGATTCAAAAAGTATCCATTCTACTACCTAAAAATAAATTGGATCTCTCTGCAAAGAAAGTATCATGTTCCAGCTGGGCGCGGTGGCTCGCCTGTAATCCCAGCACTTTAGGAGGCGGAGGCTGGCAGATCACGATCCAGACCATCCTGGCCAACATGGTGAAACCCCGTCTCTACTAAAAAAACACAAAAATTATCTGGGCGTGGTGGCACATGCCTGTAGTCCCAGCTACTCGGGAGGCTGAGGCAGGAGAATTGCTTGAACAGGCGGAGGTTGCAGTGAGCGGAAATCGCTCTACTGCCCTCCAGCCTGGTGTCTGGCGACAGAGCGAGACTCTGAAAAAAAAAAGTATCATGTTCCCTAATAATTGTCCCCGAGAGCATTTTTTTAATGTTTTCATACTCTAAAAGACAACCCAAGAACTTCAAGAGTGATTTACATCCAAGTATCTAACAGCTATTAAGATCCAAAAGAGGCGGAGGATTTGTATGTCCATAATGTCAAGTAGGAGTTCATTATTTCAGAAAAAAAGATGTTTTCAAAAAGAGTCAGTAATGTTTCCAATAAATACTTAGTTTTCAAATTTTTTAATTCTTATAGTTTGGACAAATATTCAAAAAAGGGCAAAACTCGGCTTATGATACAAGGACAAATCTAGATAGTTTTTCAAATAATCAAAAGAAGTCCCCTCTTTTTCTTCCTCTTTCTTCCTCTCCTTCACTCCTTTTTTTTTCTTTCTTTCCTTCTAAAAAAAAAATAAATCTAAGGTATAGACTTTCTATAGGTTGAGAAAACTTTCTTAAAACTAAAAAGAAAAAGTTCGATTAACAGGAAAAAAGTTAAAACTGAGGCCCACGGGAAATTTAGGTAAGACAGCCAGCCATCCATTCATTCAATCAATAATTCGGCAAGTATTTACCAAATGTTCATTATATGCCATTTCTAAATACCAGGTACTAAATAAGGTATTGCTTTGAAAGAAATAAGGGCGTTAAGACAGTGTAATGTGGGTTGGCTAAGGTGGAGAACAAATGGCACTACTTTAGTACTATTCCTAGTGATACAAGAAACAACTACACTAGTGAGGAGCTTTATTACAATCATGTAAAATAAATACAGAAATTTCATGGAAATGTTTAAATCCAGTAACAGTATATAAGAATATATGTACATAGATGTTTATTTTAGTATTGTTTGCATGGCAATTATATTGGAAACAAAGTGAATGTCCAAAGTAGGGTAATAATAGATATGTTGCATTTACATTACAGTAATAATATACTATCATTTAAAAAAAAATAGAATCATATCAAAAGCACAGAGAAGACAGCTTTAATGGTTAGCCAAATGTGGGAAATTTCGCATCAAAAAGAATAATGGCTAACTAGTTTTAACATACTGGAAAAAAATCCTGATAAGCCCATAACAACATCAAGAAATAAAAGGGAAGGCAATAAGTTCTAATTTACAGAATAATGCAATGTTACCTAATAAACATAGAAAAAAATGATAAAATTAGAAAATTTAACATAATACCCCACATAGTAACTGATTTAGGCAAGGGTCTTTATTGAATGCTAAAGCCACTAGGTAAAAGGCTTTATGCTGGCAATAGGATATTCACATGGAACCAAAGTATTGTCCCAAAAATATTTACTAATCACAAACAGAAAAATGTTCATTTACAATGGATATATTTGAAGATTATCACTAAATAAATGATCTAACTTATCAGCAAATAATAATGAAATTATCTGAATTTGTGTTTCCAATGTGACAAAGTTCCTAATATCACCTATGAATTATTCTATCCAGAAATGTTTAACCTGAATCTAATAAAGCCTCTATAGCTAATTTTCAATTCACAGAAAAAACAAAGGATAAAGACCAGGTTAAGAAACACGGAGAGAAAATGATCAGGCAAATCTGAGAGAAAGGACATTCTGCAAGTTAACTAGTCAAGACTTTTAAAACAGTTGGGCACAAAGGTAGGGAAAAGGTGAGCAAATTGCTCTAGATTACGAGACACAATAACCAAATACAATGAGTGACCCTCAACTGGGTCATGTTTCAATATAAAAAAACCTACAAATGACATTCTGGGAACAACTAGAGAAATCTCAATATGCATTAGCTTATCAGATGATATTTTAACAGCCTCATTAATTTCCTTGGTATGATAATGATAATATGGTTATGAAGGAGAATGTCATATTCTTAGAGGTGCATGCAAGTATTTGGGGGTAAAACGTCATGATATCTATATCTAGTTTTCAAATGGTGTAACAAAAATAATATATATAACATACAGGTCAGGCACAGTGGCTCACGTCTGTACTCCCAACACTTTTGGAGGCCAAGACGGGTGGATCACCTGAGGTCAGGAGTTTGAGACCAACTTGGCCAACATGGTGAAACCTGTCTCTACTAAAACACAAAAAAATTAGCCAGGTGTGTTGTCACTGGCCTGTACACCCAGCTACTATGGAAGCTGAGGCAGGAGAACTGGTTGAACCCAGAAGGCAGAGGTTGCAGTAAGCCGAGATTATGCCACTGAGTGATACTCAGGCTCAAAAAAACAAACAAATAAAACAAACAAACAACAACGACAACAACAAAAAATATATATAAAACATACAAATTAAAATATGACACAATGTTAACAATTATTGAGTCCGTGGAAAGTATTTCAGTGTTTGTTTCAGTGACAATCTTTCAATTGTGGGGATATATTTAAAATTCTTCATAACAAAATGTTGAGAAAGATAAAGAAATTAAATCAATCAAAGAAAGCAATCAATTAGAGCCATCTCAACAGGCTTAAAGGAATTTTCACAGTGTACTGTTAACTGATATAATTTATCTGTTCAATACAGTATATAATTATTGCATTGTTTAAAAAGGAATGAGTAAACCTGGGTGCAGTGGCTCATACCTGTAATCCCAGCACTTTGGGAGGCTGAAGTGAGCAGATGACCTGAGGTCGGGAGTTCAAGACCAGCTTGGCCAACATGGCAAAACCCTCTCTCTACTAAAAATACAGAAAGTAGCCAGGTGTGGTGGCACACACCTCCAATCCCAGCTACTCAGGAGACTGAGGCAGGAGAATCATTTGAACCCTGGAGGCAGAGGTTGCAGTGAGCTGAGATCGTGTCATTACATTCCAGTCTGGGCAACAGAGTGAGACCATGACTCAAAAAATAAATACATAAATAAACAAACAAATAAATAAATTAATGGAATGAGTAAAAAACTACATACATGAGTATGTGTGTTTAGACACATGCACAAATATTTCTATATAATAATAAGCATAGAGAAAAGTATGTAAGAATATCCAGCAGGTTTTAACATGTGTTACCATGTTTACTGGGAAGAGGGTTAATACGAAGAGGGGATGATAGCCAAGATAAAAAGAAAATCTTTAAAAAAAAAAAAAAAACAAATGGACCTATCTCCCAAAAAATCATTTATAAATATGTTTGTGTGTATACATGTATAGGGGAATGTAAATATGTAAGATACCTACAAACTTCTAGGGCTATTTCATGGTAAACTGTTGAAAGAAAAGAAAAATGTGGCAAAGTACTATCTGTAGTGATTCTACTTCCATGAAAACAAACGAAGTCTCTGTGTTGTAAGTAAAGAGTATGATATCAAAGGACATCCATGAAGCTGTAAATGTTAACTACATCAGGGAAAAAAACGTAGAGAGATGATGCTTTTATATATCTATGTATTGTATTATTTCAATTACTTCAACAAGCCTGGATTACTAACCAAAATATCATTAAAGAAAAAAATGGACCAGGTGCGGTGGCTCACGCCTGTAATCCCAGTACTTTGGAAGGTGAGGCAGGCAAATCACAAAGCCAGGATATCGAGACCAGCCTGACCAACATGGTGATACCCCAGTCTCCACTAAAAATACAAAAATTAGCCAGGCATGGTGGTGCACTCCTATAGGCACCACCAGCTACTCAGGAGGCAGAGGCAGGAGAATCGCTTGAGGCAGATGTTGTAGTGAACTGAGACCACACCACTGCACTCCAGCCTGGGCAACAGATCGAGACTCCATCTCAAAAAAAAAAAAAAAAAGAAAAATGTAAAAATATTAAAAAGAGGGCTGCACAACAATATCTAAAGCAATACCATAGGGTTCATATAAGATTTATATATTATGCTAGACATATCAACAATGTTTCTGATATGCTACAGACCAGGCAGAACAGGTGCCCTTCACTCACTAGTCACAACTCAACTAAAGTAGAGATTAGCAACTAACAAAAAAATCAGATAATCATAGATATGCTAATAACCTTTGAAATATTCTTAAAAAAAAAGAACTCGATCATTCAAATGTCTTTTCTCCGTAATGTTAACAATGCATAATAAGAAAAGAAGGTAGTTAACAACTTGGTACTTAAAGAATGCATAAATATGCCAGGAAGAAGTCAAGACTTGAGGATTGTAGACAAATGCAAATTATGAGAAATAAAAATCACACATTAAGGCTGGGCACAGCAGTTCAGGCCTGTAATCCTAGCACTTTGGGAGGTCAAGGTGGGCAGATCACCTGAGGTAAGGAGTTTGAGACTAGCCTGGCCAACATGGCAAAACCCTGTCTCTATTAAAAATAAAAAAATTAGGCTGGGTGCAGTGGGTCAAACCTGTAATCCCAGCACTTTGGGAGGCTGAGGCGAATGGATCACGAGGTCAAGAGATCGAGACCATCCTGGTCAACATGGTGAAACCCCATCTCTACTAAAAATACGAAAAATTAGCTGGGCATGGTGGCGCGTGCCTGTAGTCCCAGCTACTCGGGAGGCTGAGGCAGGAGAATTGCCCGAACCCAGGAGGCAGAGGTTGCGGTGAGCCGAGATCGCGCCATTGCACTCCAGCCTGGGTAACGAGCGAAACTCCGCCTCAAAAAATAAATAAATAAATAAAAATAAAAAATAATGAAATTAGCTAGGCATGCTAAAAATTAGCTGTGGTTGCATTCGCCTATAATCCCAGCTACTCGGGAGGCTGAGGAGGAAGAATTGCTTGAACCCGGGAGGTAGAGGTTGCAATAAGCTGAGATCATGCCACTTCACTCTAGCCTAGGTGACAGAGGGAGATCTGTCTCAAAAATCAAACAAACCAAAAAAAAAAAAAAAAAAAAGAAATCACATTGATAAGCAAGAACTATAAAGGTGATCAAATATAGAAAGAATGAATGAGAAAAAATAGGATAGTTGAAAATAACAGAGTATCTGAAGTTATTGTTATTAAAGTGAGATACCATATTAATTCTAAAGTTATTTTAGGGAAAAATAAAAAAATTGCAGATCCAAAAAAGACTGAAAATAAATTAAAAGTGGCAGCAACTGGTTTGAAAGACCTTTCTCTGATGTTTTCAACCAAAAGGATGAGAATTAAAGATTAGTTTTTCTATATTTCTTGTAAAAATTCCTGAAACCTTCCTTAAGTAGATTATTCTTCATTCCCATCCAAATCCATAATTCAAAAACCTCCCACGTCCATAGACTAATATTAGTCAATGGACTCAGAAATTCAGAAAAAATCAGTCTTCTGTGGTGAAAAACTAACATTATTCAGTAGGTTAAGATGAGTAAGAGAAGGGAAGCATGTAGCAGAGTAAAAGATTCTCTTTACCTCAATTGAAATATTATTTGAATGTCCTGGGAAATTTTGTTGTGTTTACAGACAAGTACACAAACAGAAAGTGCCCTTCAACAATGAATCACTAAAGGTACCGTGTATCTTAAAAGGAGAAGATAAAAGAGAATAGATTATCTAGGCCGAACAAGGATATAAGGTGAAAGCAATGTATAGAACACTAAGTAGGCCAGAAGCAGTGGCTCACACTTATAATCACAGCACTTTGGGAGGCTTAGGCAGGTGAATCGCTTGAGGTTAGGAGTTCAAGACCAGCCTGGCCAACATGGTGAAACCTTGGTTCTACTAACAATACAAAAATTAGCCAGGTGTGGTAACACATGCCTGTAATCCCAGCTACTACTAGGGAGGCTGAGGTAGGAGAATCACTTGAACTTGGGTGGTGGAGGGTGCAGTGAGTCAAGATCACGCCATTGCACTCCAGCCTGGGTGACAGAGCAAGACTCCAACTCAAAAAAAAGAATACTAAGCATAAAGTACATGTTTTATTTTCCATTACACATTCCAGTCTCACTCTTGTGCAACCAAATATCAAAAATATAAACAGACTTTCAAGTTTGTTTGGTTTATTTTAAAAAGAGAATTACACACACACACACACACACACACACACCCATATAAAGAAGGAAAAAAAGAATGCACGACTGGAAAAATGTAAATGGATCAGAATGTTATCAGTTGTGTCTGTTCTATTTGAAAAGGATTCAGAAACAACAAATACCAACATTATTTGCAGATCCTGAATCATCAAACCAAGTGTTTCCCAAAATACATCCCACAGAATTCTAGGCTGTCAAGATACTCGTGAAAAAGAGCAAACATCAAATAACTATGGGGAACTCTGACCACTATGACCAACACATGCCCCAACGTGAAACATTATAATGCATATTAGCATATCAAATTTCTAACAAGTTCTGCAATGAAGAAAACTTTTTAACTTGTATTTACCAAGTATTTTTCAAATCGATTTGATCTGGAAACTCTTTATTTTCTTCTAAATAGCTATCAATATCCCATGAAACTAATGTGGCTTTTCTTCTATACTTAAGGGATGCAAAGAAACTAATGTTTTATGAAATACATTTTAATTTGTTGTTGTTGTTGTTGAAACAAAGTCTTGCTTTGTCGTCCAGGCTGCAGTGCTATGGTACGATCTCGGCTCACTGCAACCTCCACCTCTTGGTTCAAGTGATTTTCCTTTCTCAGCCTTCCAAGTAGCCGGGATTACAGACATGTGTCACCGTGCCCAGCTAATTTTTGTATTTTTAGTAGAGATGGGGTTTCACCATGGTGCCCAGGCTGGTCTCAAACTCCTGACCTCAAGTGATCTGCCCACCTCAGTCTCCCAAAGTGCTGGGATTACAGACATTAGCCATCATGCCTGGCTGAAATACATTCTAAAACAGGCTGATATAAACCTATGATGAAGCCTAATAGTACATCTATCTAAAATTAGAACACCCTCTGTCAGAATATATTTGAGTGGAAAAATAAACTAAAATTAGAACCCTAAACCAGAGATGGCAGATAGGCTTCATTTCACATTCAAATTCTGGTAAATCCGTATTAACTACTAAAGAGCTAAACTAGGAAGGATTCTAGAATAGCAATCAGATTTGGCAAGCTGCATGTTGGCCAACTTTGATATAGACCATATCCTTTCCGAATGGTTCTCAGTGAAAAAGAGGGCAAAACAATACACCATAAATACAGATTTTAGAGCCTGGCACTCCATGTTGAAATTGAAACTCAGCTACTTTACGCTGGGCAAGTTTTGGGGCTAATGTTTTTCTTCCTTAAAATGGGGATTAATAATAGTACTTCACTCATATGGTTGTTTTAAGAGTTAAATGAGTAAATATGTGTAAAGTACTAGGAAAAGCATTTGATATATTGTAAATAATCAATAAATTCCAGTTATTTTCTAAAGTTCTAATCCAACATTCTTTCAAAAAAAGCATAAGTTTTTATTGATCTAATTCAACTGACTGTATCTGACATATTTTCACCAAGGTTGCTACAGATGTCAATCATGGCCTGCCCTATCCATATTCCTGTTAAACTAAACATACTTCCTCTGTATTCCTGATTCCCTCTCCTACCCCAAAATCTCACCCAAGTCCGTCTAGCTAAAGCTAATTTCACAGAAGCAAATACCCATCCTAAAGACAGATAATTCACAAGTCTGCCATCACCCATCACTTGCGGCTTGGCTTGAGATGAACTGGACCAATCAATCAAACTTTTTGCTCAGAAATTTGGGAACCTAAGAAACCAATCTAGTGGTGAATGCTGAAACCGGAAAGTCATTAAAACTTAGGATCCTAAAAGAGTTATTTTAGCTCTGTTCAATTTCAGTAACAGAAACAGGCAATTATGAAAAAGGAGAATATTGCAGATATAAAGAACTACAGATACATCATAAGAGATAGAAAGATGAGAGACATGGCAAAAACCTGTCTCTACTAAAAATAAAAAAATTAGGCTGGGCGCGGTGGCTCACGCCTATAATCCCAGCACTTTGGGAGGCTGAGGCAGGTGGATCACTAGGTCAAGAGCTCGAGACCATCCTGGTCAACATGGTGAAACCCCATCTCTATTAAAAATACAAAAAAAAATTAGCTGGGCATGGTGGCATGTGCCTATAGTCCCAGCCACCTGAAGGCTGAGGCAGGAGGATCACTGGAGCTCAGGAGTTCAAGACTGCAGTGACCCATGATTGCATCATTGCACTTCAGCCAGGGGAGAAGAGCAAGATCATGTCTCAAAATAAAATAAAAACAAGTTCTAGCAGTATCCCTGGGTCAGTATACTTTCAAATGTTTACACTGACAGATACATTATATCATATAACAACAAGAGATATTCATAATGATACTTCTAGATCATTAAAAAAAAAGGTAGCAGAAGTTCATTAGCCTGTTTAAAAACACGGAAATATATTTCGTTTAAAAATTTTATCAAACACATTAAAAATATAAAAATCTAGTACTCAAAGAATGCTATTTAGCTATCTAAAATCCTCACTTTCCAAAACAACTGGGGATCTAAATAAAGTTTTACTGCACTTAGGAATAACCTAAGTAGAGTAGACATCTTTTAAATCACCTGCCTGTAAGTTTTTTTAAATTAAAGAACAAATACCTTAATAAATATTTAATAAACAAGTATTAAGTTTTTACAATTATCTACCATACAAAAGGTTTAACTTATGACTTTAAGTATATAAAATATTATATATTTTAAATCATATAAAACTAATATGAAAAGTATAATAAATCTTAATATTTGGAAATAAGTCTTCTAAAATTATAAATTCTTGCTTGATAAAATAAGTAAGGGGAAAAAAATATAGTTTCAAAAGACATAATGGTTAGTACAGGATTTCCACCAACACTTTTTAAAAAGGACTACAGAGCTTTTTGGCTTTCAGCTTGGAGGAGGTCACAGTGCAACTTTCTTCAGTTGTCCCAAATCTGGTTCATCCAACACCAGCTGCCTCCACCATGCCACCAACAAAAAAAAAGTAGGGGGGGGTGTGGGCTATAGAAAACAAGAAATATTTACTAATTTCAATATACTAAATTATAAGTTCAATTAACAAAATAATCAATTTTGAGTTTTTAATAACTCAGAAGACAAAACATCTTAAAAATTTTAAATTGACTACACATAATTGAAGTTAAACATTAAAAAGAAAATATTTACTAACCTTTATTTCCTAACATCACAGCAAGGTGTAAAGGAGTATTTCCTAAAAAGAAATAAAATAAATTAATTAGAAGGTATAAAAATATAAGAACATTTACTTAAAAGTGGGTTCAGTTCCTTCAGAAATTTCACTGGCAGATTTTAAGCAAAAATAATATGACTGCAAAATAATATTGCTTATACAGCAAATTTAAAGTCAGAAGATACCATGGTTTCTAAGTACAATGTACTCCCCAACCCCTCCAAAAAAAGGATATCCATTTTGAGATTTCTTTTTTGAACAGATTTCACAGATTCCTTTTGCTGCTCATTTCTCTTTCACATTATTCTTTGTTCATTTAGCAAACAATTTAAATACCTAGTCACCCTTGGGGACAAAAATCAATAAAACCCAATTCCAGTCTTCAAGTTGTTCAGAAGTCTTTTGTTAGAGACAAATATGAAAATAAATAATTATTATTTATTAAATAGAAGGGAGTATAGCATGACGGTGGAATGTAGAGATCTCATAACTTTGCAGAGAGTTAAATATTGAAGAATGGACCACACTGAAATTAGTCTTAAAGAATTTGTTAGAAATCTGTAGGTGAACAAAAGCTACACATCAGCACTCCAGATAGATTTTTTTAAGTTATCCAAATCACACTCAAGTACAGAAACAATTTATATTTGGGAAACAAACAAAAAGTTATCATTAGTGGTGGTGAAGAAATTATAGAAAACTGTACAGAATGAAATTGGAAAGATGAGCAAAAGACAAAGACTTGAAAGCTATGCTATGAAGTCTGGACTACATCCTATAGCTGATGTTATAGAATGACTAATTTAAATTTCAAAATGATACCCTAAGCCACACTTAACGGTCTAAAAGTTAAACCAACAGTAATATTTGAAAATAAAAAGTAAATAAAATTTGCTAAATTTCACATAGTAGCAATTTTACAGAAGTGAAGTAATCACATCAACAATTCTAACCAAAATAATGAGCTAAACATTATCAAGGGATCATATGCAGGATGAAATAAACTTAACTACTTTATCTCAGAGATGTGTTTGTGATATACTCCAATCTCTTAGCTTGACAAGAGATCCGCCATGATACACACACACACACAATTTTGCTCAATAAAGGCAGAATGGAATGGGAATTTTTGACAAAGTCAGCAAAATACTATTTTGAGCAAAATGTATAAAAGAACACAAATAAATTTACATTAAAGTCATCTCCATGGTTGGGTGCAGTGGCTCACGTCTGTAATTCCAGCACTTTAGGAGGCCAAGGCAGCCAGATCACCTGAGATCAGGAGTTCAAGACCAGTCTCGCCAACATGGTAAAATCGCATCTCTACTAAAAATACAAAAATTAGCCAGTTGTGGTGGCATTCTCCTGTACTCCCAGCTACTCGAGAGGCTGAGGCAGGAGAATTACTTGAACATGGGAGACAGAGGTTTGCAGTGAACCGAGATCATGTCATTGCTCTCCAGCCTGGGAGACAAGAGTGAAACTCTGTCTCAAAATTAATAAATAAATAAAATAAAGTCATCTCTGTAATTTTACCAAAACCAAAACAAAACCAAACCCTGAATTACAGAAAATCTCTTGATCTTAACTAGGGACAAAAAACAAGACAGATTTGGAGATATAAGTAACATTATTTATCTCAGAAATATGAACTGAAGTGTTCTAATTTCCATTAGTTCTTAGTACTTTAATATGAAATATGCAATGAAGAAGAGTATATTATTTCATTGTAGGTATTTTTATATATGAATTTAGTAAAACTGATTTCCCTCTCCTCCCATGCTGAGATTACATACCTGTATCATGAAGACATTAAAGAAACACCCCCTTTCCTCATAAACAACTCTATGTCTGTAATTTTTCAATTTTCCTCAAGGGGGTATACAGTTAGAGACACTCAAGTGAATTTTCTGTATTAAAACTCTCAGTAAAGCACAATTTTCCCTACTAACTAATATGTTCAGTTCAAATAAAATAAAAATGCTTAAGAACAATTTTTTTTTTTTTTTTTTCTGGTGACAGAGTCACATTCTGTTGCCCAGGCTGGAGTGCAGTGACTGATCTCAGCTCACTGCAACCTCTGCTTCCTGGGTTCAAGTGGTTCTCCTGCTTCAGACTCCTGAGTAGCTGGGATTATAGGAGAGTGCCACTACTCCCGGCTATTTTTTATATTGTTAGTAGAGACAGGTTTCATCATGTTGGACAGGCTGGTCTCAAACTCCTGACTTCAGGTGATCTGCCTGCCTCAGCCTCCCAAAGTGCTGGAATTACAGGCATGAACCACTGCGCCCGGCCCTTAAGAACAATTTTAAACACTGATAGATTATACACTCACTGATAGATTAGGAGCCATCTGTGGGTCAGATTCACACACTATTCAGTGCCCTCAATCTTCATCATAATAGAAGGTTAAAAAAAATCAACATGAGCAAGTTCTTTTCCTTCTTTTCAGAGGAAGGTCCTCTTCTTTTCATAGAAGGTCCTCTTTCTTCTTTTCAAAATATTGAACCAAATTTTCTAAGTTCGCATTCACATTCGATGATAATTTACCAAGATCAAAAAGTAATCCTAAAAAGCAAACAAACTTGGCCGGGTGCGGTGGCTCAAGCCTACAATCACCATACTTTGGGAAGATGAGGTGAACAGATCACTTGAGGCCAGAAGCTCCAGACCAGCCTGGCCAACATGGCAAAACCCTGTCTCTACTAAAAATAGCCGGGTGTGGTAGTGCACACCTGTAATCCAGCTACTTGGGAGGCTGAAGTAGAAGAATCACTTGATTCCGGGGGGCGGAGGTTGCAGTGAGCCCAGATAGCGGCATTGCACTCCAGCCGAGGCAACAAAGTGAGACTCTGTCCAGAAAATAAAAATTAAAAAAAAAGCAAACTTGTTATGGAGCTAGAAACAAAAGGTCAACACCAACTATGCCAAGCCGAAGCTTTACTTTGAGATATCATTCTTTTTTTTTTTTTTTTCTTGAGATGGAGTCTCGCTCTTGTCGCCCAGGCTGGACTGCAGTGGCACGATCTCGGCTCACTGCAACCTCTGCCTCCCCGGTTCAAGCGATTCTCCTGCTCAGCCTCCCAAGTGGCTGACAGGCGCCTGTCACCACGTCAGGCTGATTTTTGGATTTTTAGTAGAGACGGGGTTTCACCACGTTGCCCAGGCTGGTCTTGAATTCCTGGCTTCAAGTAAGTGATCCACCCACCTTGGCTTCCCAAAGTGCTGGGATTACAGGCATGAGCCACTGCAACCAGCCTTCTAATTCCTTTTTATGTGCATTTTGACAAACTAAATTATTCTAGTATTGCTTATCTATTTTCATTTATTGGCATAAAATTTGTTCACAATATCCACAAATGATGTACTATGACATCTGATTTTATACTGATGTACCACTTCTTATTCCTGATAATTGTTATTTGTGCCTTCCTTTTCTCTTTATCAGTCTGTTCATTATTTTCAAACAGGGTCTTACTATGTCACCCAGGCTGGAATACAGTGGCAAAATCATGGCTCACTGCAGCCTCAACCTTCCAGGCTCAAGTGATCCTCCCATCTCAGCCTCCCAAGTAGTGAATCGCAGGATCATGACCACCACACCTAATTTTTTTTATTTTTCAGTAGAGATGTCTCACTATGTTGCCCAAGCTGGTCTCAAACTCCTGGGCTCAAGCAATCCTCCCACCTTGGCCTCACAAATGCCGCATGTTCTCACTCATACGTGGGTGTTGAACAATGAGAACACAGAGACACAGGGAGGGGGACATCACCAGGGCCTGGGGGTTCGGGGTCTAGGGGAGGACTAGCAGGGGGTGTGGGGATTGGGGAGGGACAACATTAGGAGAAATACCTAATGTGGGTGATGGGGCAATAGATGCAGCAACCCACCACCATGGAATGTGATTACCTATGTAATAAACCTGCATGATCTGCACATGTACCCCAGAACTTAAAGTATAATAAATAAATTTTAAAAACTTTTAAAAATATATTTCTCATTTAAAAAAAAAATTGAGATTACAGGCACGAGTCACTGTGCCTGACCTATTAATTTTATTAATCTTTTCAAAGAACAAAGTGTTAGCTTTGTCGCTCTGTTTGTTTTTCTAATTCAATCATTCCTGCTCTTTTATTACTTCTATTTTGTTTAGGTAAAATAAACTTAAATTGGGGGCCAGGCACATGGCTCACGCCTATAATCCCAGCACTTTGGGAGGCTGAGGCCAGTGGATCACCTGAGGTTGGCAGATTACCTGAGGTAGGGAGCTCAAGACCCGCCTGACAAACATGGAGAAGAAACCCTGTCTCTACTAAAAATACAAAATTAGCCAGGTGTGGTGGTGCATGCCTAAAATCCCAGCTACATGGGAGACTGAGACAGGAGAATAGCTTGAACCCAGTAGGCAATGGTTGCAGTGAGCTGAGATCGTACCTGCCAATAAGAGCAAAACTCCATCTCAAAAAAAAAAACAAACAAAAAACAAAAAACTCAAATTGGGAAATTAAGCAACTTAAAATAGTTCTAATTTCTTTTTTTTTTTTTTGAGATGGAGTTTTGCTCTGTTGCCCCCTCTGGAGTACAGTGGAATGATCTCAGCTCAATGCACCCTCTGCTCCCGGGTTCAAGCAATCCTTCTGCCTCAGCCTCCCAAGTAACTGAAACTACAAGTGCGCAACACCATGACCAGTTCATTTTTGTATTTTTAGTAGAGACTGGGTTTCACCATATTGGCCAGGCTGGTCTTGAACTCCTGACCTCATGATCCGCCTACCTCGACCTCCCAAAGTGCTAGGATGACAGGCATGAGCCACTGCACACAGCCTGTTCTTCTAATTTCTTAAAATAGATTTGATGATTGATATTTCAGCCTTTTTCCTAATATATCTACCTTTTTAAATAATGTCTAGCTTATTTGCATTGTGATCAGAGAATGGGCAGTGTGATTTCAGTCCTCTGAAATGTGTTGAGATTTGCTTTATGGTCAAGTCTGACCAATTTTTGTAAGTGCTGTACATAT